TAATTAAGTTGAAACATTGTTTTATGTTAGTATCATACATCATCTTATTACAGGTTATACCATTCGTTACAGTCTACAACCGGTTTATTATCACCCTGTTGAGCGAATACAAAAATATGGCAATTCAACATTGATATTCTATGAACCGACTTCTCGTGGGATATTCGATCTACTGACTTCCTCATGATGGTAAGTTACTGGATTTGTGTTCCTAGAGAACATCGTGATAAATTAGCACCCGAATGAATGTAGCTTATCATTATTACTGCTGGTAACTTCAATTAAATAAACGAAATACGGTAGTGAACAATCAGCTAAATGTTCTCTATGACTCGGTAAGATTCAGGTTCTTTCTCAACACATATTTGGATTAACCAGAGGTTGTTGCAGAAACACGACTATCATCTCAAACACTGGTTGAACTATTCCCCCTAACCCGATTCAGACATGACAAACCGTGGTTGATGAGAAAGACAGCTAGAACATCGATACACACCAAAGAACAAACAAGCATGTTGGTTCTTGGAATTTCTGAGCTCGTCGATAGTAGATCTGACGAGGTTCAAGCACATGATACACAAAAATGGCGGCGGCTATCTCATAATATTGGTCTTCATATCACCGTGGCAATTAGCGTCACCGGCTTCCCCGTCCTTTACACCACACGTCCCTGTCTAATGGTTGTGAACTTCAGAAGCTAAGATTACCTAAGTAAAAAGATTTAGAGTAGATGCAGCACGAAGAGTGGTCACTCTCGTCACAATAGATGTCATGATATGTCATGTAGGTCGACGTCGATCAACAATCCACGGCACAAGACATACAGATCATGGCCTCTCCGACTTAATACATTATACAAACAAAAGTCCTGCAGCTGCCCATTGTAATAGAACTTGCCAACTCGGTCCGAACAACTTTTTAACTGGAAACTTGCATCAGGTGATGAGACTATCAACTGGACATTGTCGAATACCTCGAGCCGTACCGAGAGAACTAGAATCGAACGCGAAGAAATCGATTGGTTTTTACTAGCTCGCGAACAAGATGTTGGAAATCGGATGAGAAAAAAAATATCCAATGCCTTTAAAGCAACGTAAGAAGAGTGAAAAAATGAATTGGAAGCTATCAGAAATATTTACTCTCGGAATCCAAGATCCAATAGCTTTTTCACGAGCTAGTAAAAACCAATTGATTTCTTTGCGCTCGCTTTTTCTTCTTTCGGTACGGTTCCAACGAATGGCGGTTTAGCCCCCCAAATATTTAATTCTGGTCAGTTGGCAGTTGGTCGTGAGTTTGTATGGCGTGTTATTTGAATGAAAACGTTTGGTTCAGTTCAGCAGGGTTTCTGGACACCAGCAGCTATCAAATTACCAGACCGGAGATCAGTTAGTTGCTAATAAGAGTAAATTTTCAGGACTAAGAAAATAATGGATAATTTAGTCCGTAAATTGGTAATGATGATTGTGTGAGAGGACCGAAGTATAAGGTAGAGGAAACAGAGATAGGTTAAGACGAGATAGATTAATTGAGTGATCTGAGGAGACGGCAATCCACTGAGGGGCTGAGGTCACCTCGGCTTGCAGAGTATTCCAAGTTGCAGCGACTCTTAATGAGAAAAAGCGTGTACGAACCTGAGTACTGGCTCTTTGATTTTTCGAGGGTTGCCTTTAGGGTAGTGGTGGTGATGAATCGGTAAGATGCTCACGTTGGGATGTTTCGGGATGCCTAACATGTTTTACGTCATAATCAGATCCTACTGTAACTCAGCGGGAATAATCCCAAGTGCTGTATTCTATCTTTATAAGAATTGTTCTTCAACTCTACAACCCATTTCGTCGCTCCACACTCGATCCAAGAAGGATCTGAAGATTCTAATCCTAAATGGAAAATTGCTATTATAATGATTTCACTTTAAAAAACACGATTAGTTGAATGGCACCATTCATTATTATAACCACTTGTACCAGTTAGCGTTTTACCGAATATCTGTTTGTTCGTATTTTTCTGTTGTGCTTCTCCGCTTTGGAGGTCGCCAACTTTGCTTTATTGCTCTGTAACTTCGCTTAATTCTCTGGCAAGTTTCCATATTCTTTCGATGTAATGAAAACGCCAGCAAATACACTTATTTCATGTGGTCAATCCCATATTCGTCTTCTCTAAAAAGAACTTGGATGACCCTTGGGACCCAAACCTAGTTGGCTAATCGACGTGTTCATAGTCTTTTGACTCGAACATCCACACTGGTGCGCCCGAACACGTACACTGTCATCCATCGTTTCAGAGGACGAAGTGAAACTGCAAGGCATGATATTATTCCTTTGAGATAGGGTACATGAAACTAGGTGGAGTGACGATAGATCGTATCAACTATTTCGAAGGAGTCGTAAACTACAGCAGCTTATTGTTAATTATACGCCAACAAAATAGTCTGAAAAAGAAGCTCTTTTTGATAGTCTCTAATTATTAGGATTTATCTCTTTTCCAGTTGTGCATGGTTAATATTAAGAAGTCTGATTTCAAGAGGAAGTAGCTGTCCAATGGTTTGTTGTTTTATAGAGTTGTCTCTTGATGAAAGGTTAAGTATTAAAGTCCGGCCTAAAATATTAACAATGCTTTTTTAATGATTAACGTACGAGAATACATGCCAGCTCAGAAGTTTGGAAAACGAAACGGAATAGTGAACGAACATTTTCTCAACAGGAGTGATTGTTTTGGGAATGATTAGTGTCTGAGGAAGAGAATGTACTGAGACATCGTATATGCGGCTGCAAGGATTACTGAAATCCACCAACTTTGCAACTAGTTACAAAAACTACAAACAAATTATTTGTTTTTTTCCATCATCATCCATTCAAATAAAATAACACTCCTTCGCTACATTCAGAATGAACAACTTCAAGCATATTTTCAGAGGAATTATAAGCTTGTTTATTCGAATTTTCACTATACAACAAGTAATTTGGTTGATAAGTGAACAAGTCAAGCGACTTTCTATCACTTTTCAAATCATGAATAAGATTATCCCCAAAGTTGCACATCATATTTAAAACCAGGTTCTAATGACTGAATCATCAGTCTGTCAGAATTTTACTGGATTTTACTTCCTAAGAGACAAAGGCGCCTGCTAAAACTCCTAATAAAGATTATGTATTATGTATGAATATAACACACGGCAAAGTGATGGGTAAGGAGAAAAACACATTAACCTTCTGATGAGATAAAAATATATTCATAGTTTCAATCGAGCTAACAAACAAACTTTTTTAAACGGGTTTTAGCAGAACTAAGTATTCTTATGTCACTAACTTCGAGATGGATCAAATCTTTAACCCCCAACGAGTACCTACGAGTTCAATGTACCACTCAAACTTAGTGCCAGCTATGAACTAGGCAATATCTGACTTATCCTGACTTAAAACTAGGAAAATTCAAATCCCTGCCAACAGGAGAGCCACCAGGATATGATAGTATTCTCCATACAGTCTTGAAACAGTTTTCAGAAACACTCAGTTTACAGTTATATTACTAGAGTCACACCAACTCCCAAGCTACTCTCCCTCGAGTCTTCAAAGGAGGAGCTGGAAAGGATCCAGACAGTTACGGACCTGTCTCATTGCTGCCCAATCTGTTGAAGTTGGTGGAAAGACTGGTGAGTGAGCAGATGAGAGAGAACATGGAAAGTAACAACATCCTCCATGAATCACGACACGGGCGAAGGAAAGGCAGTTTAGGAGAACACAGTTGTCTCATTGGTAATAGGACCAAAATATACTGAGTCACAATAGTACTGGACCTCATAAGTGACTTCGATACAGTGCCCCACATAATCGTAATAGTGAAAGTTGAAAAAATTTGCCTCATTGATCAACTTCTATCATGACGCACAAAAACCTTGCAGCAAAAGAGCAACGGGCAGTAGATAACAGGTTAGAACTGAATCAGCCTAAATGCACGTCATGGTCATTCTGCCAAAAACTTACACCCTCAAAAGAAGTCCCATACCATACCAGCAGATAGCTTTAGGAAGAGACTTTTTAAACACTTACTCATATACGGATTATCATTTCCCTCTCGAATCAGCTGTGTCTGATGCATGTCTTCAGATATGCTAGTAGTTATTATTACCATCTGATATCGCTAACTTAATCTATCTCTCTTATAATCTGTTTCTCTCCCCTCGTTTACACTTCGGTCCTCCCACACAATCTTCATAACCGGTTAATAAACTAACTTATCCTTTTGTTTATTGGTTCTAAAACCTTCTTATTAGCACTGGAATTTCCCCTCTATTACTTTCCACATTGCAACTAAGTGATCTCTGGCCTGGTAATGTGGTCGCTGTTGGTTTCCAGATACTCTAATGCCTTGAGAAAAAAGAAGTTATCCAAACCAAGAGCCATACAAATTCATAAAGAAATGCCAATTGAATAGAATTAGTGCATTCGAGTGGCTAGACTATCATCCCTCGTCCTTCACCAAGAGCAAGGAACATTACAGGAGACAGCACAAAGTAATAGACTTGTTAATCCTAGCTCTTGAAAAAGATATTGAATATCTGTTATTGACCGTTTATGCAAGCTACTGTATTTTTAGATGACTTAACATCATGGAGTTTATCCCTACACAATCCAGTACCCTAATCTGACACTAAATGCCCTCAGTGACCTCAACCGCTCAAGGTCGTCTCAACAAAAGTGTGGAAATTTGAACCAGTGTGTGTGAAACTCGTTTAGAACCTTACAGTATAAACTTCTAATTCAAACAATCAGTTTAATCTAATCTCATGCTCTTACTATCTTTGATTAGTGTCTATTGGCTCTTTAATTGAATGTCAGTGCATACTGTGTGTTTACTGAGTTATCGGCTCACCGTTTCTCACGTTCTTTCCTCTTCCAGATAACCTTACATACTACTATTCAAATTCCTCACACTCAAGGTACCGTCAAGATAAACGTAAACCTACTGAAGGCCGAAGTTACAGGTGACGTAACAGCCCTAACATGCACAAACTGGCATCAGAATTTGCAGTCTCAAACGGTATATTTTGATAAGTTACTTGATAGTTAGCAGGAATTTTAAAGTCGAACGACGGAAATCCATCCATTTTGTCATGTACACTTTTACCATCTCCTCTACCAAAACTGTTGCTGTGTCGTGCTCAATCAGTTCAATGTGATTTTAACCTGTTGTATCACAAAGTTGCTATGGATCATGAATTTTTAGACACTATTTTAAAACCGTGCGTTTGATTCGTCAAGTTATTAATTTTTAGTGTCCTAGCTGTTGACCACTATCTTCGATCCTTATGGGGAATATATTCGCAAATTAGAACTAATGAAGTTACTCAGGTAGAAAAATTTTGTTTAGCATTGTTTGAAAAGTTAACATTCATTCGGGTTTCTCAATCCATCCAAGTTTTCTGATCGTCTAGAGTTTTATTGGAATATTAGCTGATAATGTTATCAGTTGGTATGTAGTTCAGGTCGTACGTCTATATATGATAAAAATATCAGAATTATCGACAATATTTGGACGCTCATGCTTTGCCTTAACGCACCGTAATAGCCTTTTATCTACGTAGATCAGTAAAACGACATCTGAAGAAATTCTGCTGAAAATTCCTAAAGAAAATCTACGTTAATATAGGCAAAGACACCAGATTGCTATCATTTTATCATCCCAAAGTAAAAGCAAATTTTCCCCATTGAAGTGAGATGTCTCGAAATCAACACCTTCATGACTTCACTTATGACCTATACCTTGCCAAGTGCTGTCCATTTTCTTATGTCTGCCTCCGGTTGCCGACCCACTGTGTTTGGTCTCCTCATTTACTCTAGCACTGAATTTGTTGCACCGTTTGATCATTTCTACAATATTCCTTATTCACTCCAGCGTTTTATCTAATTTCCTCTTCAGCTGGAAATTACCCTGTTCACTGCCTTCGTAGATGGCTACTAACGGTGTCTGGTCAGTAGATCTGGAATACCGTGTGTAGACAACTGTTTATGGAATACCTGTACCTCTGACAATAGTCGTAGTCCTTCTCCAAGTTTCAGCTCCATATAATAAAGCACCATGATCCTCTCCAAATTTTCTATTTTTCCCTAAAATTAGCATCAATTTGTCTACTTTTCTGCACTAACAACATGGGAAGTTGGTTTTGTCAATACTTAACCGACTAGTTTACCGTCAACTGTATACCTAAGAATGTCGTCTTTCATTCATCAGAACACCTAAATTATCTTCGCATTAAGAGTAAAATCAAAATAATTGTTTATTTGAAAACGATTCATTAAGATGTTCTGAATATATAATTGTCATCAATTTCTACACAAGGAGAACAGTTGGAGGTCAGCATTTTAAATGAAGGAAAAATTCTCTTCAACGGCAATCGAAAACTGTATTTAATGAGACGTTTGTTTATACTTACTGAGAAAGCTTCTTAGTTCAAACGCAATAGGAAAGTATACCAACGTTTACTTGCTACATCTAGTTCGTCTGAAGTCACTCGATACGGGTGAAGTTAATGAAAACTTAACAAAAACTCATTTAATAGAAAGTGATGACACAAGGAAATTGTCTCCAAAATATCGTCTTTGAGAAGCAGCGGTTTCACCACTTGAATTCTAAAATAGAACAGCCTTCGATTTTAATGTGATGTTTTGTAGAACGCTTGTTACAAATTTGTCATAGATTATGCTAAAACTTACGTTGATCTTGCAAAGCGCGTATACCGGTGCTCAAAAGATGGAAAACAAAAGTTAACAGGGACAATTGTCACTTACATTTTATTTCCTTCCAAAATAATGCTTGCTCAGTTTATCCTTATCGTGAAAGTACCTTTGGGTAGCGATATCATGAACCTTCGAGAGATGTTCTCTGCTGATACTAGATGATAAGAATTTAGATGTTAAGCTACCTTGTGAATGAGATAAACAGGAATGTATCTTTAATTCTTATTTTACTTTAAAATTGATACTTAATAAGACCCTGTTTTGTGTCTCTCCCCATCAAACTGAAGTTTTTGACCAAATTAGGTTTCATAGATTATAAAATTGATCTGATCAAGTATTCTACGTTTTTGAATTTTAAAACAATTTAACTAATTGTTCTAGTTTGTAGCTGTATCTAGAGAAGTCACTCACTGTAGAGATAACCTTGACTCAAAGGAATTTCTAGAGGCTGTTTTATTGTCGTATTGGTCCAGAAATGAATTTTAAACTTCTTATAGGTGTAGACTACCTGGTTGTGGTTTGCGAAACAATCGTAACCGGTGCTCAAAGACTTAGTATGACATTGTTCAAAATCGCTTCCAGTGGTGCAAGTACACCCATTCTTTATCTTCGCTTGAATTCCAGTCTTCTGAATTCCCTATGACTCTTTTTCTCTTTTTAAATTTATTTTGCTGGGATATACTTCTCCAATTATATCTTCGATCCCTAATATTTTACATTACCGCTAATACTGTTAAAACCTCAACTAGTATGGGATCTGAACTGATAATTTCATTTCTCCGTGCTAACGTGGTATGGCAACTTGAACTGGTCTACGTACGTACCAAGTTTGATGTTGTTACTGACTGACTGACTTTAAACTCCGTATAAACATAGTCAAATAGCCTTATGGACTTGAACAATATCCATTTAAAAATAACACTATCTTGTAAAGTATTTCACCATGTCCCTATATTTATTGTTTGTGTTTCATAATGTATAAAAGAGATTAGTTGCATTAAGTTGTCTTTTCGCATTAGTGTGCCTGTATCCAAGCCAATTATTAGATTTCCAACCCGTCAGTCAGTTAGTTATATGCAATGCAGAACATTACACGCATCGGTTTTTTAATGTTTTGCTCATTTAATATACCGTGATTGTGAAGCTTTTTTATTGTTAATAAACTGTAAATTGTGAGGAAAATTAGGAATTTATACTAATAGAAATCGTGTTTACTTAGACTTGTACACTCGAATGATTTATAGCTGATTAATATCGATGTCACCTCGATTGCTTTGTCAATACTGCTGTGTGCTTTATGGCATTTGGACGTCAATTTAAAACATGTGAAGGTATATAACAGAAATCTAAATCAAAAATTTTATCAATGTAGTTTTTCGCAAAAATCAAAGCCATTGATGAAATCTACGATTGGTGTTGTACGAATAAAAAGTTCCTGTTTTTCGAACCTTGACTTTATGAGTCTAGAAAATAAAAATTTATGAAATGTAAACTTTATTTTATTCATAACAAAGTCTTTCTGTTGTTTAAAGTCAGTTTAGACGTTAAATCTACTTACTAGGTTTAAAAATTTCATTTTGAATTTTTTCAACAGAAACAATTAGGTACACACTGTTTACCTCTTTTGTAAAACCGAACAAGCCACTCTCGAACTTTATTCTTTATTTGTTTTGTCTTAAAAGAATATAGTGTTAGGACTGAACCGATCCGATTATATGCTTCATGTAAAAGAAGATTTATCCGATACTGAACGAACTTCTCTCACTAACCGGTTACAAAGTACATTGGTAGCTGCCCAGTCTCATATAGAGACCCAAGATGAAGCTTGGGATGGTTTATCGATTCGACAAGTTGAATTCAACATGATTGCATGTAGTTTTTGTGGTCTTGCTCCACGCATTGTTCCACAACATCGTATTTCATTATCTTTGCATGGGATTTCGAGTAATTTAAATGATCGTGTAAGTTAAGAATAATTTTATTCACCTCATCGTCATTACATATGGTTACAGTCATTTATGAGAGCATAATTCTCCCCATGGTAATGCTTTTGCTGCTTCACTGCCTTTTGACATACTTCGATTTCTCTCCTTGTGTTGGGAGTGCTTTCAATAGCCCAGTTTGCTCAGTTGATTATCTTACTAACGTTTCTGTTATTTGACGAGTCATCGGGTCCATTAAAATTCACTCTACCTTCTACAGTCAGTTTTTCCGTTGGTTTAGAAAACTTTGGAATCGTTTATTTCATGTACAAAAAATCACTTCATATAATAATTAACAGTACTGGCTAACATGGACGATTTAAGGATTGGGATTATCGCCTATTTCTTGAAGTCTGTGTTACGTAATAACACAAGAATAGGAGACTAAAAGAACTATTTACATATATAGTCACCTATTATTTAATAGATATTTACTGAGGCTAAATTTTTTTAAATGACTTGCAGAAGTTAGTGATGTTTTTACTGATCCAATCTTTGCATCGACTTAGCTGGTTCGAAATGTACATGTTATCAAATGGTCGTTCTTCTTGTATATATTTAAGCACCTTATGATGTGACCAGCCTAGTTCTCTGCAGTGTGGTCCAGTGAAATCCATGTAGTTTGCTGAAGCTACATAGATTTGCAAATCTCTCATTATTTTCGCTCCTTTCTTCCAGTTCATGTCGGCTTATGATATCTTCACACCTGGTGTTGTCTATTCCAACCTTGGCGTTTAGGTCTCCTGGGCATTTATCTACTATCTGCTGCAGCCTCTCATAAAACTTTATCGTCTCTACCGCTGTTATTGATACGCGCATAGTACTGAATCAAATTCGTCGGAATTCCTTCCTTTGTTTTGAGGGATGTTTCAATAATCCTGTATTCATGAGATCCTCATCCTATATTTGCTTTTTGCGCTTCTTTGAAAAACATCAGTATGACTCCTATGAGCATGGCATTTTCTTTTTCGTAACCCAAAGCTAATATTTTCTGTCTTGTATGTGTTCAACTGGTTTCACTTATTCTAAGCGATTTCAATTTGTATCTTTTAATTTACGCAGTTACTTAAATGATCCTCTCTATCTTTCACATTGTGTGAGCATTCGAGGTACTTATGTTATTAGTTGCCGAACGAACCTGACTTTCACCACGAGACGTCATAGCTCTTCTCATTAAAGAACCTTCAACTTCCAAGGCAGAGTTCAAGCGATTTAAATTAAACTTCCTGATTAGTGTTTCTAAGCAAGGCCGTTTTCTATGGGATTAGATTGCTAACCTCATGCCTAACCCTCCTTCATGTGGGTGCCAGATGGTCAGTAACCTTAAAAAACTTTTGGCCGGCTATAATGCTATCATACGGATGATATTTTTATGTTTTGTACTTGATGTAACGCCAAAGCACTGTACTAATGACACACCGAACGTAGGACCCCTCCGTTCAAAAATAAGAAGACGGAAGACGTTGGAGAACACTTATTATCAGAATCGAAAATATGCAATCAAACATGCGTATTTATACAATTATATAAATTTCGTTTAAGTATTTTGAACATAAATCAAATAGTTCATCAATCCACAATGTGAGTGGCTTTCTTCTCGATTGGCTATCTCAACACCTCCCCGGAATAAGATTTTTTGCTTTTCTTTTTTCTTCGAAGTCGTTTTAGTTCCTGTTCAACTACCGGGAGAGAAGCATAAGGTACAGGAATAGCTGTTGACTTGAGAGTCAGTAGTGCTTTAGCTTTCGTACATTCGCCTAACGCTTCCGAATATACGTGATGATGCCTTTTCATAATGGCATTTCTCAGACTTGACTCTAAAGGGTTATTGATTCTAACTCGGCTGCAGATGTCGTTGATAGAATAGTCTGTTAATTTTAATGCATCTATGAGATCCAACCCCAATAAATCAAGGTCTGGGTTTTTAGTTAAGCATACAGTGTAATGTAATGTATTGAAAATTCCACTCATGCCATCAATTTTACCTTTAGGTACCTGATTGTTGTTCTGCTGATAGATTTTCCGAAGCTTTACTATCTGCTTGTCAAATGTATGTTGAAGATTGTTCTAGAAGAAATTTAGTCACAACAAAAATATCTATTCTTGTAGTAGTTGGTGATAATGAAAAAAATATTTATGATCAACGAGCATTGATTGGTTGTCTTCTACAGAAAAATCCTCATGTGAATGTTTTATATCATTCATTTGATTATTTAAAAACTGGTATAAAATTGGATCCGAATTTCCGTTTATTTGTGTAAGTTTCTGCAAAAATTATTATCTACTCGCGCAAATCATTTAATCTTTTTGGTTACGCTTATTTATTAAATCATTTGGTTAGCGATGATAAATGTATAGTTTCTGCAGTCACTGGAGTTATACAAGATCTAATACAGTAATAGTATATTATTTGAAGTTGTTAAAACTCGGGCGAGAATTTTGACATATAGTTAGTGGAAAGAATAAAATACTTAGGTGACTAACATTTTGATGTTTTCATGCAGTGCACTTACTTGCTATTGAATTAATAACAAACGTTGTAAGTTTGAGATGGTGGGGAAAACTTGTAGCTTAGGTGGATGATTGTGGTGGTGTTTCGTTTAGAGAACAAACACCACCACGATGTTAGTTTGAAAACAAATATATCAGGTCATTGTATTGCACTATGTATTCAGACAGTAAGAGAACATGAGTAAGATATTAAGTCACCAAATTGAAACACGACCAATCTAGTTATAAAAAAAAACTAACAAACATACATTCAATAATAATAAAACTCAAGATTTCAGTGAAGATGCACAATCGATCAATATTTGTAACAATAAGACTTGATTAGCTCATAGAGTAAATCGAAAAGTTTGCACTCAACATATCCAATTTCGACTTGATATTTTTAATGCATAGTATTAGATGATGTTTCGGACATAACTCACTGTCTATATGTTTGAATTGAAACTTAGTTGCATTTCTCTGATTACATTGAAAAAAAGTGGTTTTTCTGCATTCCTCAACAGTCTTGGTTAATCCTGGTTTTGAAGATTTTCAACAGTATAATTCTTAATATGTACTATCTGGATTTACAATTAGTTCTGAATAACTGTTCTGTTCTGTGCTCGTGATATCCAACCCTTCCGAACTGAAAATATTCGTGAATGCCCTGTATTTGATTATTGTTATTTCTGACGGATTACTCACATCTAGAATCAGCAATATCTTAAATGTGTGTTCGAGTGAAATGACGCAATTCATTTTCTTTCACCATCTTGAAACACTGATTCTGATAGTTCAAGTGGGCTTTACGGATGTCATCACAGCGGTTTCCATTCCGTACCGATTCTGCGACTGAGTTGAAAAGGTTATGAGATGGCCAGTTTATCAACTAGCTTCATGGTACGAACAATAGTCGTGTAGGACTAGTTTCTCTTGACGTATCATGATCCCGCAGTTGGGGTCCTGGAGATTACGTAACTGGAAGTGTCGTCAGAAATAATTCTGAATAAAAGTTGTTGGCAATGCTCCTGTTGTTTCCCAACGATTCTTTATAATAATGTTATAGATTCCATTTGATAAAAGAGATCTTTCCTGGATGTATTTAACTCTCATTAAATACTATTCCCTTTCATTTTTTATGGGTTGCACGGTCGTCCGCTGTTATTTCTATGTACAACATTATCAGCTTATTTACATAGCATGTTCATTTGGTCCTTCGCTGTACTAAAGTTCTAATGTGCTATCAATAAATAAATATGCTCACTCTTTATCTATTGCGAATAAAACTACATGACACTACATAGTCAGTTTTCTGAAAAAAACCCAATTTCAAATGACTTTTTCTTAAATATATCAGGAATTAGTATGTTAAAGCACTAGTCCAAGGCCATCCAATCTGTGCATACTTCTAAATTCTAATCTGTTTACTTTCTACATTGTTGCCTATAATTTGTCCTTTCACGTCTTCATTAGCCATTTCCCTTTTTTTATAGCACCTTACCTTCACTTAAATCTGTATACGTTCAATTTTTAGCTGTCCAGTTAACTTATTTGACGACCGATTTCATTCAGTTAGCAGCTATTCGACTATTTATTTGTATCCTTATTATTATAATTACTGTTACTGTTATTATCGCTATTGCCAATACCATTATTATTAATTAATAATAATAATAATAGAGAAGGCTCAACTGGCTTTTACAAAACTTGAGTCACTTATGGCGTAGGCGAGATATCCGTTTGCTAACCAAAGGACGAGTTTACTGCTCATCACTCCACTCCGTCCTACTATATGGGTGTAAAATGTGTTTAGTGAGAGAAGAGGATATTCATAGGTTACTAGTTTTCAACCACTGGTTTCTTCAAAGTATTTCTCATATATCCTGAGACCACCGAGTAAACAATGCTGTTGTTAGGAAACGAGTACTAGTTAAAGATAGCAGATCAATTGATGAATCAGTGAAAACTCATCCTTTGGAATGAAGCTATGGGTGGCCAAACTAAAACATTGCAAAAATCCATGAAGTCACTGACAAGTGTACTGAGTCATGCTGCTGGGTGTAAACTACGTGGTTGGAGTTCGCGAGATGATAGTAACCGATGGTTAGGGACCTTGAACGATATGGCTAAGAACCGTTTGCAATGGCGCCGGTGCATCCACTCTTTGTCTTCTTTCAAATTCTAATCTTCTGAATCCCTCACAATCGTTTGTTTTTTCTTTTATTTAATCGATTCCTCTGGGATACACATTCGATCATTAATCTTTTTGATTACTGCTAGTATTTCCACTACCTTTACTACTATGGGGTTTAACTTAACAATTCCCTTTCTCTCTTTTTTTTTTAGTTGCTTAGATCAATCTATATATCATTCACTACCTTATTTGGCTCTAAAATCCTATTAGTTCGCTCGCTCACATTTTTGTTTGCATTCTCATGTCTGCTCTTATTCGTTTCGTATGTTTGTGGCTTTGTGGGTTCGGTTTTGTACGATAATAAACTTTCGTCGACGTTTCGTTTTGCCTTCTGTTACGTATACATCGTTGAGAGTTATCTAATAAAGATTATAAAAAATTATTTCGACAATAATTCAGTAGACTTTTCTGTTATTTTTTACCATTTTATTCTATTCAGAATTTTTTAACAACGTGGTTAGCCTATGCTAAATTTTAAATTTTGAGATATATCCAGTTCATCTCAGTTCATCTGAAATCATACTTGTCGACAGGCTTCGATTGAATGAAAACATGTTCCATACAGATTTATGTTGGAGTATATTGATTTATCCAATTGGTACCAGCTGGTAGATAGTGAAAACTAGAATCTTTCTGTGTCAACACTATAAATATACTAACATTTTGTTTCACTGTATAAATTTGGTGTTAACTTGTTTTAAAAGATTTATGTGCGTTTTTGTATGTTCTAATGTGATGATCAACCGAGTCGACTAGTGTCTATGATGAACTAGATGACAGAAGTAAGCAACACTTAACAATACTAACGATTAGTGATGAAGGTGGAGAACAATGAAAGTGACTAGTTGTTGTAGCCTTCAAGTAATTTTCAGAATTGATTTGTGTAAATTAAATTTCAAGTAGCGACTTTTTAACATTCATTCAATGAACTATCTTTTACTTTAAAATTCATAGAATTTTTATCTACTGATATAAAACCTATGTTAGTTAATGACATAAAATTAAATTTAAGCAATCTTTTGAAAGAATTTCCAACAAAAATAGTGCAAAACATTTTTTGAAGTGTACAATTAAAGTAGTCCCTTAAATATATATTCTTAAGCGTTCAATAGATTTTTTAGTCCATCAGTAAGCTAAAACGTAAAGCTTCATATTTATGTTCATCAGTTCAAATTGTCATACGCCGTTAGCACAGAAGGATCGAATTGTGAATTCAAATCCCATAGTTATAGAGGCAGCAAAAGTATTACGGGTAATGGAGAAGATTAGGGTTTCGAAAATGTTATTCAAGAAGTATAATCTAGTGACGTAATTTAAAGAAGAAAAAAAGATGGTCATGAGGAATTCAGACTAGAATTCAGGAGAAGACAAAGAATGAATGCATCTGCACCATTGGTTACTCTCATCTCGCGGACCAGGCAGTATACACCTACTAACATAGCTCATCCCAGTTGTCAGCGACCTCATGGATTTGTGCCATGTTTTGGTTTGGCCTAGCCTACCTCTAAATCTTTGTCAGGCTACAATTAGAAAACACTTGATTGTCGCGTTAGTAAGTTATACAAATAAATAATATCACATATAAACTATTGGATTCCATCTCACTGGTCCAAGAAACCTGAAGGTTTCCTGTTCGGTTTACAGAGTATTCGTGGATACATACTGCTAACGAGTTTTGCATGTTAGGATGCAACAGCTGTCTAACACTCCCTAGTTTTCAATGGCTACTTATTTAAGATCAGTTCGTGATGTAGACTCAAAAATCCAACAAACTTCATAAACATCCTATTTATTATAATTTGTTGGTCACTAAGTCACAAAGTCTATTCTATTTCGTGTTATTCTATTTTGTAGAGACAATCAAGAGGTAGCTGTTGTATATTTTAGAACTGGCTATACTCCAGATGCTTTTCCTGACGAGGAAGTAAGCAATATACATGTTTCTTATAATGCTTGTATTAATTTATGTAATCTTTTTAGAAGGATTATCAGTCACAGTCGAATCAATATCCCTTGTCTGTCACGTATTATTTTGTTATGAATTTATCAATATTACATTAGGATTGTTATTCAATAAACTTTGTAGTGTATGCTATAATAAACAGGAATTAAACATGAGAATTATGTCTTAAATATTACTTGTTTTAATGCTTTACACATATGTTCCAGATCCTATGTTCGTTTACGCCTTAAATGACTCTTCCTCATCTCAATGTTGTCAAATATTTTAGATGTAGTTACGTAATCTTTTTCATTTCATTGTGATTATCACTCAAATTGCCTTGATTGGTTTAACATTTTCATATAAATATTCATGTATATTAGAGTAAAGCCTGATGACGATCTAATCGAAAACAATATTGTTCGCTTATATGTGTTGTTCCAAATATTTTTGTATATCAATATTAAAAACCAACTGTTTGGTTGTATTTTAGCCATAAATTCATTTGAAATTATTTTTAAGCCTAATACACTTATTGATGGTTGAGCATATCAGCTGAATCCATTATTATATGTCATAAATAGAATTCATTTTTTATTAGAAACTTATATAAATAATCTGAAACGCAAAAATACCTGTTTGCATTGATGTTAGTACTCTGCGTTATGCAAACATAAAAGTTAACAATGATGTGATCATTTTGTTGAAGAGGCTCTAAAAAGAACAAGGCCGAATCATGTTCACTTTGAAAGCCGATTAACTAATGTGCGTTAATAAATGCCGGCATCTATAAAAAAATTTTCATAATACTACTTTCAACTATAAAATTAAAGATGGAATGTTAATCTTGTTTACGCTGCTTTCTCATTAAATACTCTTTTTTTATGAAGGTTATTATTATTATCGTTTGAAATTAAAAAGATCTATAAACATAGCTTGTTTACTAATACTTCAGAATAGGTTCTGACTATCATTCAAAAAACAAAATTGTGTTTTACACAGTAATTTAATTTCATTATTTAATGTTTACCATTAAGAAAAATTGATAGTTTCTAAAAATAATTCAGACATTTAAAATACCATTATTTTTAAAAAGGTTAAATTGTCAATAATACTATTAAGCATAGAAATTGTTTATTTATTTAACACATAAATATTGGTACAGAAGGGGCATCGAAATGTATATGCTCTACACAAGTCATTTAATTAGTGCATGAGCTGGAACACTGCTCAGGTGCTCTAACCAAAGATGGTTTTCTTAGGGGACCATCCCTGAGCCTTTGACCTAGAGATCTTATACACGATGGTAGTCATTTGTTCCCTTAGGATCGTGAAGCCATTATGCATCATCATTTTGAAATCTGGGTTTTTCAACTCTCTCCTCAGTGCTCATCAACCCGGCCTAAGCATCGGACAATTTCGAGAAACTGTACAGTTAATATCTGAAGTTCGTGCTGATGATGTTGTTCTTCTGAACAACATCTCAGAGAATGAAACAGCACCACGACGGTTAATAATATTCGTAAATGTATACATATTTTCAACTTTATTCCAAAATAACATGGAACAGTCGGTATTTATGTATCAGTAAAGTTATGAAACGTTTATATAAATATTTAACTGAATATAACAATTAGTACACGTAATTTTGCAAATACTTGTAAGATATCTGATAAATCTTTAAGGGAAATTTTCTAATACTCAACTGACTAGCATGTGTGTTTATGAAAAATGACGATTAGTAAAAATTCTACCATTGAAAATTGAAGCGACAAAAAACTAAGTCTCGCTTGTGCAGCAGTGGACAAAAATTGCTGAAGTCTAAATATTGTCCAATCCAGGTCGGCCTCCTATAAACTGACCGGTTTATAATTCCATCCTCCGTTCGATTCTTCAATAGGGCACAAAGAATGTGCAACACGGATACATTGACTGAAACATTAATTTCAAACGGTTATCCACTACAAGTCATAAATAGGTTTAGAAATCAGTCAAGACAAAAACTTGTATTTCTGTGGAAAAGAAAAGTATTTATATCTCGTGAAACAATGGTTTAATCTTAACACAAAAGGATCCGTAGAGGAAACATACTATACTGTTTAACTGATTATAATTGAAAAGACTAAGCCCATGATTCTACATAGGCCTAAACGTTGCTCAAATGATTACACCACATCTCAATGCAGTTATCAATTTACATGTTTATGTGGACACACATACATAGGAAGGAGTAGTCGGACTTTGCAATCAAGGGTTATGGAACATGTACCTAAGTGGCTGCTTCAAAACCAGTTAACTTCAGATGACCCGATAAACGTGGGAGATAGAAAATCGTGTTCATCGATCGCAAAACACATAATTGAAGCGGTGCATAAGATTGACATCAAGACGGCATTCAAAACATTGTACCGAAAAGTTGGAAGATGAATTCTGAAGCTTATAAACGCCTTGGCTGTTCGTAAATTAAAACACTCCTTATGTGCACAGAGACCACTTGTTATAACCTAGAATTTACCCTGGTAATCTTTTCAGACCATTTTTATGGCCTACGGTAATGCAACTTTTGTTTAATTGAAATTTTATTAATTTCTATATAAAATACCTTGACAAGTATATATGTAAGCAGATCATTCGAAATGTATAGCGTGAAGTCATCACATTTTTTAGATTGACTACGTATTCTCATTGTTCTATCAAAATCATAAGTTTAAAGAATTTATATTGTGTGATTATTATTCATTTCAAATTTTTTTTTGGGATTTCATTTGGCTGTTTGCTTAATATTGCTTGGAATATGGATAAATCATTTAGTTTGTCTACTTATCATCGAGGATGGCAGGTCAATAGATGAAGTAATGATTCTTCATCAGTTGATGTGGTTGGGACATTTGTTACGTATGCCTAACCACCGACTGCATCGTCGAGCTATGTTTTGCGATGCAGGAATAGGTCGGAAGAAAGCTCGAGGTGGCCAAACCAAAATATGTCAGAAATACATGAAGTCACTGACAAGTGGACTGAGCCATGTTGGTAGGTGTCGAATACCTGGTCGGGGTCCGCGAGATGATAATAATCGATGGTTAGAGACCTTGAACGACATGACTCAAAACCGTTTGCAATGGCTCAGGTGCATTTATTCTTTGTGTTCTCTCAAAGCCCTCTAGTTTTGACTTTCTAAACTTTTCTCACTGAATCATATTTCTTGAATAATATCTTCTAATCCTAATCTCTCCGATTACTTCTAATACTTTTACTACCTCTACTACTATTCGATTTTAATTGACAATTACATCTCTGTACTAATGTGGTATGTCAACTTGAAGTGATGTACGTACGTAAGTACGAAGTTCTTGGTTGCTGTTGATCGATTCCTCAGGTTTCATGTTATGTAACGAGTGGATGGAATTTATCAGGCGGATTTTATACAAATCTTATCATTCAATGTGCCATACAGTAATTAAAGATTCAGGTAGTTTGAATTATCGCCTACTACAGTTAAGACAATACTCAAATTTGCGTTTGTTTGCATTAAAGATGTCTTTTTTCTGATAGGTTTGATAATATTTTAACATGGTACATCACATATCCTTACTTCCTGTGACATAGAAATTCTTTTTTTTTATGATAACTATTGTCCCCATAGTTTAATCTTTATCTTTGGTTTGATGAAAAGATGATAGTGAATTTACTGAAAGTGAGTCTTTCACTTCAAAATTAACTAATTCATAAAGATAGAATACACTTATTTCAAACTATCTTAAATTGATGTTTAGCGTACAAATTGTTGTAGTTTCATGTCACATTAAAAATTTCAATCGTTTTCGTGTTGTTTACTAACAAATAAACAATCAGACAAACATATTCCAGATTAAATTGTATTTTGGCATAGTAGTAGTAGTAATAGTTTTATGAAACTATTAAATCACTTGACATATTCTGTTTGTTTATTTTACTCACATAGTTTTTATATGCATCCGTCTCTTATTGTGTGTGTTATTTTGAATTCACTCTCTCTCTGTATTATGTAGACATGGAATGTAAAATATCAACTTGAACGATCATTAGCTATCAAATGCCCATGTATACAATATATGCTTGCCAATACAAAAATTATACAAGCTGCTCTATCAAAATCAAAATATTTATCTAGATTTTTTAAACCAAATAGTTCAAGTTATTTAAATATTTTGTCAACATTCGCTCATCAATATACATTAGATGAAGAAATGGGCATATCTGATTCGGTTGAAATTCAATCGGCTATTAATGATTGTCTATTGAAACCGGATAATTATGTTTTAAAACCACAAAGAGAAGGTGGTGGAAATAATTATTTTGGAGGTATTGCTTTCTCTGTTGTTGTTGTTGTTACTGTTAAATCATATTATTGATGTCTTAATAGCCACCATATTGATTCTATTCAATTTAATTGGTTTTGTGAGTGAATTTTTCCATTGGAGTAATTACAGCTTACATTATTAGTAGCGTTGATGCAATCTCGACCGTAGCTGCTACTTTGACGTAGTGTTCGAGTTTGCCTATCCTGATGACCCAACTGAGCTATATTGGTTGGAACATATGTCCTTTTAGGTTCTACCATGCCGGAAATAGGGAGTGAAGTAGTCGGGCGTGTAGACCGCTTCACGTATCTGGGGAGTCTCATCAGTACTGATGGCCTGGTGACTGACGAAATCTCAGCTCGGATACAAAAGGCTCGATTGGCTTTTGCCAATCTGCGTCACTTATGGCGTAGGCGAGATATCCGTTTGCTGACTAAAGGACGAGTGTACTGCGCAGTAGTTCGCTCCGTCTTGCTTTATGGCTGTGAAACATGGCCGTTGAGAGTAGAAGATATTCGTCGGTTATTGGTTTTCGATCATCGGCCTCTTCGAAGCATCGCTCATATACCCTCGGACAACCGAGTGATCAATGCTGTTATTAGGAAACTGATGCTAGATAAGGATGGCAGATCAGTAGATGACATATTGAAACTTCATCAGTTGAGGTGGTTGGGACATGTGTTACGTACGCCCAACCACCGGCTGCCTCGTCGAGCTATAGTTTGCGGTGTAGGAATAGGTTGGACGAAAGGCAGGAGCGGCCAAACCAAAACATGTCAGAAATCCATGAAATCACTGACAAGTGAACTGAGTCATGTCAGTAAGTGTCGACTACCTGATTGGGGTCCGCGAGATTTTAGTAATCGATGGTTAGAGACCCTGAATGGCATGGCTCAAACTTGTTTGCAATGGCGCATGCGCATGCATTCTTTGTGTTCTCTCAAATCCTAAACTTATTGATTCTTCGTCACTTTATCTTTTAAGTCTATTTCACTAGATCCTACTTCTTGAATAATATCTTCCAATGCTAACCTCTCCGACTACTGCTAATACCTTTGCTACCTCTACTACTATTCGATTTGAATTGACAATTACATCTCTGTGCTAATGTGGTATGGTAACATGAACTGATGTACTTACGTACGAAGTTCTGCATTGTATCTGACTGTCTCATGCCAGACAGGTTGATTAGAGAACGATGAGACTGAAAGCAGCTACTCAAGGTCTGAGGGCGAAGCTTTACTGCTGACTTTAGAGCAGTGTGAGGGCAGTAAGGCGTTTCCGTCCGACAACCAGTATCCGCAGTAATGATACCATCTCACAGTGAAGGAAGGGGCTAGGGAAGTTCGGCCGTAAAAATGTCACACCTCACCTTCACGGACTTCCTTCTCCGGCGGTAAGGCCACTTGAAGAGCGGGCATAACACTCTAAAAACGTCTCATAAAAAGTCCGTGTGTGACCGGCCTGAAGCAGTTGTTCCTTGGACTCTGTGGTCACGCTCTCAGGTCGCTATGACCAATACTAATCCAGCTTTCCTTCGAGAAGTTCGATAAATGATAAAGGGATTAAAAAGGACGTTTCGATATTCTCACTCTTAGCTTTTTTAAAACCTAAGCCTACTTTATTTAACACTCTTCAATAATAAAGTATGGAGTGAAACTATTCCTATCCATTTCAATCGATAGCGATCTACAGCATTGTCGATCGACTTGGTGTATTTATCTAGTACCATGTTTATTACCTCAACATTACTCAGTTGACAGTTTTATCCCGTATGAATGATGCTTCAAAGAATATGTAAATAAAAATAAGTGCAACTTTACCCTGCAGTTTATATTAAACTGTTGTATGGTCGAACTAAATAAAATGTTTTATTACTTGTTACAATCACTGTTGTAGATCATAACGGGTACTCCATTGAAAGCGTTCAAATTAGGGATACCGTGTGCAAATTTAGATGCACAGAGTAGCTACTCACTTTATTTTTATTTAACCGCATAATTATTGGTACAAAGGGGAACCTTAATATTTATGCACCACACAAATTATTAAATTTAAGTGGTCTGGGATACTACCTGGGTGCTCGAACGGAAGTTGGTTTTCTCAGGTCATTCCGTGGGCCTCTGATCCTAATGTCTAACCCACACGGCAGTGGAGCAACGTTAATAGATACAATCCAATGGTAGTCTGTGACCAACATTCGATTCATAAACTATTCGGAGTTAGGGTTTTCTGACTCTCCTGGATTAATCTTCTGTACCTACCGACCAGGTTTAAGCGCTGGACAACACCCTTGCCACAAGGAGATAACAAGCAGGACTTTCCTGACTATACATGATTGGCCATATTAATCTTGGTGAACGCTGGATTCATTTACGACCTTGCAGGGACGATTTGTGAAATTATACGGATGGATGAATGTCACTCTTTAGTAATAATTTATCAGTTACGATTTAAACATTTCCTTTAAAATTCGCTAAGCTTATGGCTGTGAATACTACTTAAATTGATTTCATTCTTAATCAGGTATCCTTTTATTCATTATGCATAGAGGAACTTGTTCAGAAATTAAAATCAATTATGAATCATTCTGACAGAAAATTCTATGTACTCATGGAACGTATACGACCATATATTTTCGAGAATTCTATATTGAATTCTACTTCAAGTTCTGAAGAATTAACAGTTAAGAAAATGGTTACTGAATTGGGTATTTTTGGTGCAATTCTCGCGTAAGTTCAATAACTAGTAGTGTATTTTCTTTTATCTCAAGTTGTTATTTTTGACTTTCTGACTTTGAAAATTAATTCAAAATACTCTGTATTAGTGAACAACCCACTTCTAACTTTCAAATCCTATAGAAATCGATAAAACTACCGAGACATTCATTTGTGATATTATTCCAGAAATTCAAATGGCTTATATTTTATCATGTAGAGAGAATATGTTAATAGATGAAGCTAAAAGATGATTATATTTCATTTTTTATTTTTTAAAAGTTATGACTCATTAATTCTATGTAACAACTAAACAAAGATATGGCATCAGCCCATGAATTCATTTATTAGTTAGTGGTTTGATGTATGTCGGTAGGTACACACTTCTTAATTGGTCGAGGTCGAGTAACATTGTTCGAGATCAGTCACATTTATGCAGATGCATTCACTCTTTACCTCCAACTAGATTGCCTGATATTCGATTTGGGTTATATCTTCAACTTTACGAATTCATTTTCTCTCAATCTCCCTATGCTAATGTTGTGATGTAACAACATCATAGGCTGATGCACATTTAAGCCACGTTTTATCTTGCTAATAATTGATGATACATGCTTCCCAATAAGGTGGTGAAAGTGAAAACAACAGAATTCTAACCAAACAATGAAGAAAATTGTTTGTGGAATAAAATCTAGATGATGAAAACTTAGATATCAAAAACCAGATACGTCAAACCACTTCTTTAATTAATTATAAAACATATATTTTGAGGTCTTCTGTCTAACCACTGCTGCCGCTAACTTTAGTTAAGCATATGAAGTTACAAACAAAAACAAGAATCATAGCCTAAAAATTTGTGGGTTAGCATAATATCCCAATTATATAACGATTGACGATGTATATGTGGTTGTATAATTTACTCTGTTTGTTGATTTTATTTTACAAATGGTAATTTATTTACCATGTCTTTGCTTTATCCTGTAAACAGACGTAAAGATGAAATCTATTTGAATGAAGTCTCTGGTCATCTTCTTCGATCAAAACCATTGGAATCGAATGAAGGTGGAATAGTAGCAGGCTATGGTTGCCTTGATTCTCCATTCCTCGTTTGATACTTTTATTTTGATTTAATGAAATAACAATTAAAATGATTTCATTATCTGTATGACTTGATAACTATTATTATAGTATGCGAACATTTTTGATTGTAAATTAACAAGTCAAATGTTTGCTAGACGTGTTTGAAGCGCTTTAATCACTATTTATTGGGATTTAATTTGTAACAAATCTACCTTAGCGTGAAATTCTTCAAAATCACAAAACTTTTGATTTATTTAGTTAAACATGTTTATTTACTAGCTTATGGCGATATTAATCATTTTTCAGCTGGTTGAATTCCACCCACATTATACTGAAGCTGTTAAGTTGCATCCGTATTATAATGTTTATTAGATGGTTTGGATAGAGGAGACGGTTTCAATGGGAATAATATTAAGTGTTTCCATGTGTGAAATCGTTTAAAACTCTCTGCTTACCCACACCGTAACGTGTCTAATCACTAGTGAAGTACTGGTAAATCTGGGAGTGTGACTAGAGCCTAAGTGATGGCTGCTTGAGGCTAAAGATACAATATTTTAACTATATACTTGACAGGCCTTACTGTGGAGTAAACGAAGGATACCCTTCAGGTCGCCATACCACATTAGCACAGAGACGTCACTGTCAGTTCAAATCCCATAGTAGTGGAGACAGTAGAAGAATTACTGGTAATGGAGAATAATAAGGATCGATGATATTATCCAAGAAGTGTAGTTCAGTGAGATAATTTTAGAAAGAGGGAGATGAAGAGGAATTCAGGTAGTTAGAATTTGAGAGAACAAAGTGAATGGATGCAGCCGCACCACTGCAAATGATTTTGGGCCATGTCGTTGACTTTCGTCTCGCGGACCCCAACCAGGTAACCCACCTTTACCAACATGACTCAATGAACTCGTCAGTGACTTCATAGATTTCTGCCATGTTTTGGTTTGGCCGCCCCCAGCTTTTTTCCAACCTATTCCTGTATCGCAAAACATCGCTCATCGAGGCAGTCGTAGATTGGACATTCCTCCTAACCACCTCAACTGATGAAGTTCCAATACTCTATTTATTGATCTCGGTTGTCCCAGGATATACTAGCAATGCTTCGGAGACACCTAAAATCGAATGCTAATAACCTACGAATGTCTTCTACTCTCAACGGCCATGTTTCACATCCATAGAATAGGACAGACCAAACTGCTGCGCTTTACACTCGTCCTTTAGTCAGCAAACGGATATCTCGCCTATACCATAAGTGACGCAAGTTGGCAAAAGCCAATCGAACCTTCTGTATCCGTGCTGAAATTTCGTCAGTCACCAGGCTATCAGCACCGGAGACTCCCGAGATAAGTGAGGCGGTCTACACGCTCTACTACTTCACTCCCTATCACTAGTTCGGGTACCGATCTAGCCCAATCCTGAAGCAATATTTTGCATTTCACCAAGTAGAACTATGTCATCGCCATATTCTAAGTCAACCAGTGAACCTCCTGGTAGGAGGTCTACTAATGAAAAGTCAGACGAAAATAAATTTAACTCTAGAAGCATGTCCATGACATAGTCAGACAGGAATGGAGAGAGTGGACATCCCTGACGGACACCACTTGAAGTAAAAAATTCCAATGACAATTCGCTATAAGCTCTCACTCGACCAGTGGTGTTCAAGTATAGAGCTTGTATCAGGTGAATGTACTTCTTTGGTACACCTTTCAATGACAGACACTGCCACAGAACCTCACGATCCACGGAGTCGAATGCCTCTTTAAAGTCCAGGAAGACAAATTTTGTCGAACGCCTAAATGTGTCTGGGTTCCAGGACCTGTTTTAGTGTGAAGATATGGTCTAAAGAGCCATTTCCTGGTCTAAAACCAGCCTGTTTCCGAATTCTACCTAAGACCTCAGTTAATCTAGATGGTGAAACTGGGCCACCATCCTTAAAAATCTCAGGGGTCAATCTATCTGCACCCGCAGCTCTCCCTCGATTCATATTTCTTATAGCTTTTTCGACTTCAGAAAGATTCGGATGACTTATATTGATTTGCCGTTCAGGATGATTGGAGATCGTGGGCAACCGAAGTGGGGCTGCACGCCAGTTGAACTGATCCTTTAAGTTTTCAACCCATCTATCCAATCTCCTGGATTGAGAATGGATAATAAGACCATCCTTTTCCGAGATAGTCTCACTTACATTCGGGTTCCTAATACCGGTTTCTTTGATGAGGCGGAAAAGTTGTCTACTGTTGCCTATCGCCGCTGCCATTTCTATCGCTTTTGCTTTCGCCACCCACCACTGTTCGCGGTCGTTACGTAGGCTTTTTATAAGTCTGCGCCTAAGCTGACTATGCTCTTCATCATGTTCAGAGTCAGGTGGGATGCGTTTTCGACCATCCATCAGTTCGGTGGATGCGACTGAAATCCACTGCTTTATCCTAGCCTTGTGGTTTACCTTACTAGAAGATACCATTGCTGTTTCCACAGCCTTCTTGATATCATTCCAACCTGCTTCAGGATAGGAATCAATTGCATGGCCGCCTAACTGTTTTTCTAGTTCCTTCTGAAATATTTTCTTAGCTTGATTATCACCAAGTAAAGCCCTAAGAGGTCTCCTTACGGTGTCTTTCCTACGTCCAGTAAGCCTCAAACAAATACGCGCTCGCACTAGAGCATGATCTGAATCTAAACATGTGCCCCAGAACGAGCGACAGTCCTCTATTGAACCCCTCCATCGGTGGCTGATGGCGATGTGATCTAGTTGGGTCCAACGTTGAGACGACTTCAGGGGTCGCCAGGTCAACAGATGCTTTTCCTCATGCCTAAAGTTAGTGTTTGCTAAGAATAGGCGGTTATCTGAGCATAGTTGCAACAGACGGCCGCCATTGTCTGTTCTCTGAGCCGCGACACCATAACATCTACCTAGGTGTCTTTCATTTTCACTGAGCCTACCTACTTGAGCATTGAAGTCACCAGCCATTATTACTATATCAGAGCGCTTAGCTTCTCGGAGGTCTGAAAGCTCTCTGTAAAACTCATCCTTCACCTCATCTGAACTGCAGCCAGTTGGAGCGTAGGCAGATACGTCGAAGAGGCAACAGCGTGTCCCGTTCAGTCGGACAGCGCACAAGCGTCTATCTACTGGGATCCAGTCTAGGAGAGCTAGTTCTGCCCTACGACTCAATGTTATACCTACGCCAGCGAGACCCCTGGAAGCAGCATCAGGGCTGCCAGATACATGAAGGGTAAATCGAGTTGTTCCTTTATTTTGACAAGCTGAAATAAAATCAATGATTTTATCAGGATCCTGTATGCGCGTTTCCGAGACGCAGCATACATCAATGGCGCGAGATTCTAAAGTCCTAGCTAAGGAAGCCTGTCGTCCTGTTTGACACAATGTCCGTACATTAAAAGCTCCAACATGTAATCTATAAGGGGCTTCAGGAGACCAGGAATACAATTTCGGGAACTTGATAAAGGAATGTGAGAAGAGTTAGTCGTTGAGATAAGGGGGATATTAAGGAATGAAGGAAGGATTTTATTGTGATCACTTTGGTCTCGTGTGCTGGTATGGGTATGGTCGCATGTCACTTACCGGCTGCCAACACCATGGAAGGATGCTTCTTGAGGAACCTGAAAAGGAATTTAGGATAATATTGGTCTTGAAGACCTGGAAGCGTGGCCGCAGAGCCCAAGAGAAAACTGCTTGAGGCTGGTTTTCAGAGCAATAGCTCCGTTCTCGTTAAAAATCCCTTTTCGCCAGAGACGGAAACCGTGACGTAAGGTGAGGTGTGAAATTTTAGGGTGACTTTCTCCACCCCTTCTTTGTGAGAAAGCAGCATCACTGTAGATGCTGTTAGTCCGAGTGAAACACCTTAATGCCTTAATATCTATCTACAGTCAGCAGTAGGTCTTCGCCCTCAGACCCTGAGTAGCTGCTTTTAGTCTCATTGTTCTCCAATCTACCTGCCTGGCATGGCAGAGCCTGCAGGAACATATGTTCCAACCAATATAGCTCGGTTGGGTCATCACGATAGGCAAGCCCAACCACCACGTCAAGGTTGCAGATACGGTTGGGAATTGGCTTGTGGAGGCGCATTCGTACTAAGTAGTAGTTTATGAGGTAATCTAGATCATGTTAAGATATTTTTGAACCATGTGTACCCATATCAATCTGTATTTAAATTAAAAAAGTCATGTTATCCAATTTTTCCTTGCCATATGAAATACTGGAAATTAGGATTTCAAGCAATTTCATAAAATGTTTTTATTTCGGTCGCTTCAGATGATTTCCAATCACATAAGCTAAAGCCCATAATATTCTCGATGACCCCAGAAATCTACTTGTTGCTACAATTCAGTCTACTTGTCAATGACTTCATGCTCTGACACACCATCTTGGTTTGATATCTTCGTACCTTATTTTGTTAAATACTCCTATGTTAAATACTAATGTATTTTATAGGTATAAATATGTAGGAACTGCTTTCGTTGGTGAACATTTGCAGCCCTACCAATTCATTTGCCATCACTACCTAATAACCTACACCTAACCTCAACTGCATAGTTTAGTAGCAATTACTGACGTCGCTCCTGAAATTCTTCAGTACATATCATTCACATGGATTCCAACTAATATAGGTATTTCATTTCTGTTTTCGAGAAGACATAGGCTTGCATTAAATACACAAATACCGTTATTTTGTGCACTTAAGCTACGTTTTACCTAAAAAATTGTGAAACGGACTATCTGCTCAACCCACGGTGGTTGCAATAACGTATGAACTCCAGTATTGGGAGTCGAGTATACAAGCTGCTGAATCATTACTGCATAGACTAAGGATAGATACAATAATTCAGTTAAATTTCCTCCAAAGCAGTATTATTTCTATTATCTCTGTAAATTACAAACCGGCACTCTCATGAAGACATTTGGTATAAAAAACAAAACAAATCCAGAATAGCAATAGAAAAAGGATGTAATACTAGGAATGAAATTTGTAGGATGGAAGTAGGCTCAGACACAGTCTGCATAACCGTCAGAGTATATCTGTTTCTTTGCTCAGAAAACTTCGGATTTCATCCAGAAGTTCTTGTTTTACTGTGTCTGGCACCATACGTCGACCGACAGGAGTGATTTCGGCTACCAAGTCGTCTACTGTTACGTTTTCGATTCCACGATCTCGAATAACATCTGGAGTATGAAGATTAACAAAATATTAACTCAAGTTAGATATATAAGTTAGAGATATTCCAAAAGAAAGCAATGTCATGGACACCTTTGAATTGATATTCAGGTATGTGATGAGAATAGATCTCAATAACTAAAACTTTAGACTGCTGGGACTGCGGAGGAAGTACTTACTGACCATCGCAAAAATTGGGGAGTTATCATTCCACAGACGTAACAAATGTTATATAAAGCCATTTCTGATATTTTAAACTAGACTAGTGTGCTTTCATATACTAACTGGATGTCCTGTTACAATCAGGATGTCATATATAATAACTGTGGATTCTTAATCACGTAAGCGTCAGTTTGTTTATCAGTGATTAAGTGTGATGCATGGAAACAATTTCCCGTAGCATCATTTACTTGTCTATCTGGGACGATTATGCATAAATGTGTGCAGAGTATGAAACAGAATATAGGCCATGAGGAAGTTTTTACCATTATTCTGCAAATGGCAAATCAGCTGAGACGGATGAAATCTTCATACATAAAGGTTACATACATTAATTAGACAAGCACAAGTAATAAGGGCTCCGTTGCACAACTATTTTTACTTCTGTGAATTTTTCACTTAATGCCATTTCAGAGTTTCCACTCAACAACAGAGGTCACAAAACTGAAAAAGAGAAATTACGAGTGTTGGCTACGGAAACTAGTACTAAAACATCAGGTCCAATTGTTTGAAATGAAGGGGATTGCTAACCTTCTCACTGATATATCGCACAAAATTATTAGTTAAACTACAAAATATAAATCGAGAGTTACTTCGGTAAGCTCACCCCGGCAATGGCTTTTTAGTTCCTCACTCCAGCCACATTCACTCAGGCGGGTTCGTAAAAGGTCTTTAAGTTTTTCTTTTTCTCCACTTAGAGTAAGTCTTTCATTTATATATGCACGAAGTCGAGTTTTATCATCACTAAGAAACTAAATTTAGGTAAAACAGACACTAACTCCAAGGTCATCCTGTTTTCAAAAGAAACCGCGTTGGTTATAGCTAGGTACTCAACAAATATTTTCAGGACAATGTTTGATTTCTCTCTATACTTGAATAATGTTGGGAAATGGACGACGAAATGCGTCACTGGAACTAATTTATTTGATAACTGGAAATCGGTTTATGTAGGATAGTTTCTGAAGTAATTTTTATCATCAGTAACAAAATGAACGTACAATCCTTGAAATACAATTAAGTCCTGTACCTCCTATTTATATTGCCTTTCAAATGAAGGAAAGCTGTATTTCATAAATTTTCTGTGTAAAGCTTTTTGCTTGAAAGGGTATGACGCTTTTTTGAATTGGCATAAAAAATCAGAAAATTGTGATGTAAGTTACGTCCGTCTATGACCGTCGGGTTGTAGTGTAAATGGACTGTATGATAGGATGTTTCCCATGCTTTTTTATCATTTTTATTCCGAATAACAGTCGCGGAAAGTGCACCTAACTACATAGTCCGTCCAATTGAATAACACCCTACTCACTTACAAAGATCATGTATATCAATGATATACACTACGGTTGAGGCATGAAAGTTCTGACCCTTGCATAGATATGGCGTCGCACTGAATTTGGGTTCAGCTTCAAAAATGAGAACACTGACGATTAGGAAATTTGAAGAAAATGTGTATATTCTTATGATCTCCGTGTGTGTTCAAACAGTCCGGAGTACCGTAATTAGTTCAGTGTAAGTCTCCACATGATGAATTCACACGAAAATTTATTTTGGTTAAAAGATTTATCGTCATCAGTTTTTATACGACTGCAAATGTTGAGAGAATCGATTCAATAAAGGACCACACCAGTTACAGCAACATGTGGAGATGTTTCTCACTTCATCATGATAAGATTAACCCAGAATTGTACTCAACAAGGAAAAAATCCTTTATATACAGAACAAATATGAAAGAATCCTCGATACTGATGAATAGCTCATTGGAATTATTTAGAAGAAACGCCATTATTCGTGATTCATATTGCACAAAACAATTTGAAGGTAGACCTGACATTATGAATGGAGCTGTGTAATTTCGATACACATCAGACCTAATATCCATGTTCCTCTGCATAGCGTGCAAAGCGTTCTTTAATAACTTGCATCAAATTATATCAAAACACAAATCCTATGCTCAGTTTAAATAACAACAATTTAGGGAAGGAAAAAAATTATGCAGAAATTACAAAGTTCCTTGAACGGTGATGCCAGCTCTGTGCAATCAAACGTTTCATCGGCACAAAATATCTACAGGAAAAGGAAAGGCTGAAATAATTCTTTAGGTACCAAGGAATCAACAACAGTTTATTCAACAGGATGTGATCAAATATCCGCATAGGAGGATTCGGGGGGTCATTTTTAGTAGGTAGTCAATGGTGAAAAACCACTCAGAAAGGCATGCTGTAGGCTTGAGTTTTTCCCAACATCACTTATTTTTTAATGGCAGACGAGGAGCAACAGCAAGTAGGTAGTTGAGTAAACGTTGACTAAATTAGAATATTAATCACTAAGAAACATAAAAAAGGGTTTAAAAGGTAGTCAGTAAATGTTGAACACAAAACATGGTCTAACAACAAAGAAATAACAACGCTAACAAACACAAGGCTACGGAGAGATTTTCGGAGTATTCATTTTGTTACACGAACTATATCCTATGTTAAAGTAAGATTTTCTTTGCTAGAAGGCACAGATTTTATCTAATTATTTTATTTAAGAATTTCAGTGTTTATTTTATTCAATAAAGTAGAGAAACTTTTGTTTATTTGAGTAGCTTAGTCTTAAGTTTCACTTACTCATAAGTCAATTAATGAACGTATAGAAAATGCACTTGAATGAACTTTGGTTTGGGAATCAGTATAAGTCATATACGCGCCTTGCCCAGTCCAAATTCAAAACAAGTTTCTAGGTGGCAACGGTTCTATTATTAATCAAAAAAGGAATATAGACAATTATTTAAACAATAATATATTGTTTCCATGCGAAATTGACACAATGAGTTTCTGATTCTGGAAGAATGCGTCCTTCGAGTCAAGAGTACGAAGTTACCGCAAAGGTATCAAATCCGATATGGCTGTAGCCATATCAAGTATCGATTTAAACAACATATTTACGCTTCAGAAGGAAACATAAACTCCAATAAAAGTGCAGAAAATAGGAATTATAGCAAAATACAATTATTACCATCCCAAATTGGGACTAAACAGAGTACCAAAATATTGAACGAAAAGCCTCAGCAAGATCGTATAACAAATATATACATGGATGGATTTTCCCAAAATCAGGGCCATCAAAATGGATTCTACATAATGTTGTGATAATAATTTGTAATGGCTGAGACTGAACTCACATATTGCGGTTAATATAAAAAGCCGAATAATTTTTCTCAGCACTCTGTCAAAAACAATAATGTCCTACTTTACCTTTCTAGACGAAACCTAATCGGTCAAGCATATTCGGTTCTTCATAATGCCCTGCGAATGAAGAATCTCTAAAGCAATCAAATACGGAATCAGCAATAGAGGAGATTAAAAGTGTATTTATGAGATAGCTAGCTTGTCAAAAGTGTGTGATTCACGCTGGTTTCCTGCCACACAAGAATCATAGTACTTACTTACTTACGCCTGTCACCCCCAAATGAGCACAGACCGTCGACCAGTTTTCTCCAACCAACTCTGTACTGAGCTTACCTTTCTAGTTCTTTCCTGTTTTCGTTCATTCTTCTCATGTCTTTCTCTATTTCTCGACGTAATGTGTTCCTTGACCTTTATCTTTTCCTTTTACCCTGAGGGTTCCATGTGAGGGCTTGTCTTGTGACGCATTTGGGTGCTTTTCTGTGTCATATCCACTTCCACCTGTTCCTCCCGATTTTCTCCTCCACTGGAATCTGGTTTGTTCTCTCCCGCAGTAGGTTGTTTCTGATGGTTTCTAAGGAATGAATCAGAAGTAATTTGCGTAGACAACTGTAATTGAACACTTCTATCTTCTGGACGAAATCTTTCGTAGTTCTCCAAGATCCCGCTCCATACAGTAGGACTGTCTTGGCATTTTTATAGAAAGTTCTGATTTTTTTGTTGGTTGATATTAGTTTGCAGTTTCAAATATTTTTTATTCGTGGAAATGCAGTCCTCGCTTTGTCAATCTGTGCCCTCATATCTGCATCGGATCCACCTTGGTTGTCAATGATGCTGTTAAGGTATGTAAAAGTGTTGACGCCCTCTAAGACATCTCCACCAAGAGTGATCCGATCTGCGCATGCTGTGTTGTATTGTAGAATCTTACTTTTCACCTTATGTATGTTGAGACCTGTTGCGACACTGGTCGTCTTCTCTTACCGTCCGCATTGTCGAAGAAGCCTCCGTAGTGTTGTCCTGTCCCGGCTATCGAATGCTTTCTCGTAGTCAATGAAGTTGATGTCGAGTGGTGAATTTCATTCAAATGATTGCTCTACAATGACCCACAATGTTGCGATCCGGTCGACAAACGATCCTGACCTACGAAATCCAGCCTGTTGATCTGTAAGTTGGGCGTCTACGAAGTCCTTCATTTTGTTTAACAATACCCTGTTGAAGACCTTGCTTAGAATTCAGAAAATAGTAAAGCCTCTGTAGTTCGTTACTCGAGAAGCCTAAAATTTTAAGAAGAACATGCCTCATTAACTATCTCTTAATCTAGACGACTATTTGGGTTTTTAGATACGAACTTCTTGACAAGTGAGGCCAAGCTTACACTCTTCAAAATGTAAATAAGCCCCCCACTTAAATATTTCTAACATATCTTTTCAAAAGTGAATGTCATGGACAAGATACGAGCAGAAAATGTTCAAAGAGTCTTCACCCGGCGACTGCTCGGATGGAGCCATAACCTAGACTACACAGAAAGATGCAAACATCTTTCTTAAGAACCTCTATGGCGCTGTCGTTTGAAAAACAACCTAATACTTCTCTATAAACTGATAAATGGCCTCTCGTTCGTAAAATACCGCTCAATTATGAAACACGACAATGCTTACATACTTAGAAACAACGCACGTACACTATATACGGCAAAAGACAAAACATCATTTCGTTTTAATTTCTTTGTAATACGACACATTCTACTGTGGAACAGGTTAGCAATTACTGTTCGTATCTGTGACACAGTTACTAAGATCAAGAAACTAGTATAGTGAATGAGAACACAGGTGGGGCAACCGGATTGTATTTAACAAAAATTACAGAGTTACTCAGTAAAATAGGAAAACCATATCGTAAATCTTTAATTTGCAAAATATCAGTCCATCATATCGAACTGGACTGTTCCTGTTGCCAAACATCAATCCATTGCCACTATTCATGCGTTTCATACAAATTCCATTGTGTTCTAACTCTTCCTTTCTTGATCTTCCCCCATCTTTTGCTGCCAGACATCACGTCATATACTACTTAAAAATAGCTCACACCACACTAGTAGTGCTGGTGTTAGACTCTAAAGAGATTTGTCAACCATTCCCGGAACTCACACCAAGTCCCAAGACACTCATTTATGGTCCACCAAATATTTCGATAAACCTTAGAAACTTATTACAGACTATGAACATATTGTGCAGGCATTACCATTCATACAGGTATCACGAAATCATAGACAAATCCCTCTGATCCTGCTTACATTAATAGGCTGCACCTTGAAGGTGCTACCGGAGACTTTTCTCCAAATTTAAATTCTGATCAATATTTTCATATCTTCAACGTAGTTTTAGTTTTGTTCCAGTTGACAGACAAATCAAAAATCCTGTAGATGCTGATCAACTACTACCTATTACAAAATAAATCAAACTCCCTGTAGCATTGTGAGTTCCTTCTTGTTTAATTATTAACAGCCTAATCAATTTTTAAGCGTCCATTCATTACCATACAAATACCTTGTTTGCTTACCAACTTATTGCTTTTCTCATCAATTTTTAATATTATTTCTACTCTTTTTTCCCCCTAATAACTTATATATATCTTTAAATTTATACCATTAGTTTACTTAAAATCAGTGTGGCATGCTACATGGATATGTCGTCGTTCATACAGAAGGCAAAGTTGTTGAGACTGCTTGTAACGTGGAGCTAGTAGAGATAGTGAATTCCGATAAGGTGTACAAAAAATAGAGAAAAAACTAGAAAACATTAATTACAATCGACCATTACTCGTAAGAGAGCCCAACATCACAAAAGGAGGGAGGGTGGTGTATCTGGCCAGCATTCATGACGGTGGGGCGATAACCTCAATCTGCCCATGTCTGTGTGGCAGAACATTTTGTTTTCTTACGGCTCCTTACGATATAGTTGGTGCAGTAAACCATCAGGAGCCAGCAACTGATTGTGTATATGCGCTCTCGGATGGATCTGAATATCCAAATCCCAACTCTGACGTGGATTTCTCGCGACATTGCGGAGGACGAAGTGAGCTTGCAAGTTGTGAGACTGTTCTTATCTGATACCATACAAAAGACAGGAGTCGGAATGGCTGTATATGGTACCAGCCATTTCAAGGACTACACGGTCTGACGGAATCCTGCCGGTGTTGCATCAACAAGAATGGCACAAAATACTCCATAGAAGGAATAAGGCCCAGAGAGATAAATTGACCAGGGCAATAATGAAAGTGCCACTCTTTGGACTTAATCAAACACACTTAACTGAAGATTTCAATACTCCGTCTCTAAGTCTCAGGGTAAAACTCCTACAGGTCGGTTCCGCTGGCGACTTGACACAACCACTAAATGTTGCATCTGTGCAACGCCATAAGATGAACTAAAGATGGAAAACCACCAAACTTGGATCGTTTCTGAATAAATATTTAGCTTCAGGTCGAGGTTTTCCATTTCTACGTACAAACAGAAAGTTGTTACCACGGCGCAATCATGTTTAACGTGGTCATAGACGGAATACTGAAGCGGGATGACAACGTGCCTTGTCTATGCTACACTAGGACAATTTAAACTACCGTGAGATAGCATCTTATAACCTCCCGATGGACACAAAAATGGTTGAAACTAATAGTAGATGATCACTACCTAAAGGTGAGAGACATGATCTAGAATGAAGTCTTATACAATGTGCCTCAGGTATATCACACACCTGGAAATGGAAGAACGTGGGTTAAGCGATCCCTGTCTGATAACAACGGAGAGCATAAACACCATCTCAAACTACGTAGGGAATGCAGCCAACGCTAACGTATCCCTTCACCTTATGCGAAAGAACATGGTGCAAGCACCCATAAATTGTTCTTAACTCTCTTCAGTGCATATACGCAGGAACACCTTGAAGTTCACAATGTCACCAAGTCTCCTTTCTTCAAGAGAGAAATAACTTTCCTGGATCGAGTGCAGAGACGAGTTACTAAATGGGCGAAAGGTCCGAAGAACAAACAGTGAGAGGATAGACTCCACCACTTGAGGTTATTCCATCTGAGCTACAGGCCTAGCGTCTCCAGGTAATCCTTGAAAAATTGTACACCAGAGACCATACACCCAGGTTCATGAACACCGTTTCTCATTATGAATCGTCCCTTCTTGAAATGCACTACTATTCGGAGCTACCAAAGCATCCTCAGTGAATAGCTTTGAGAAGAGACATGATAAACACGTACTCACTTACGGATTTACATCTCCCTCATGGACAAGCTGTTCCTTGTGCATGCTTCACGACGTGCTACTTGTTATAGCTGCCATTTATTTGGATCACTAACCTAATATACCTCGCTCACACTTCGTTCTTTTCATTCATTATTCATTTTCAGCTCATTAACTTATTTATTTTATTATATAATTCCGATCTTTTCTCACTGGCATCAGAATTTTCTCTTCATTATTCCCCACATTGCAGCTAACTGATCTCTAGCCTAGTAATGTAATAACTCTTGTTATCCAGAAACGCTAATGTCTTGAGACGAACGCAGTCATTTAAATCAAGGGACATACAAGCTCATAAACAACTGCCAAGTGACTAGAATTAGTGCACTGCAGGCTATAATCCATTGAACACCAACTAAAATTATGAACCAAACCGAATCGAGCGCAAAGAAATTAATTGCTTTATCCTAGCTCGTGAAAGTGTTATTGGATCTTGAACACTTCTTCATTTAGTTAATTTCTAGGTCAGAAAGTATTTGTCATGTACAATCTGTTAACGTGGATTCTGATAATCTTGCAATCATCATGTACCTGGACAGAAAAGTTGCCAGTCGTTATCTGGCACGGAATGGGTTTGTTCCCCTTTACTCTTTGCTAACTCTAAAGGCGATCGAGGGACAAGTACTGGTATAATAAAGCTAGCTAGAGCTATACAGGGGGAAGTACCTGGAACATATGTAAAGTGTATTACCATTGGTAATTCAGTCATTGAAGTAGGTATATTTTTTGTTCGAAAATATTTCATTACGAAAGACTTATTTTTTAAATCATAAATAACGTACGCCTTGTATAGCGTAGGTTTCTTCTGATTTCATGGGATTACTCATATTCCATAGCCTTCAGATTTTTCTCGAAATCCCTGTTGACCGCACTGAGACGTGTAGAATTTTGACTGACTTCGGGTAGAAACCCTAAAATTGCCCCGATGTTGAAGTTTGGGCTGACTAATTTTGTATTCTACAGTTGACGAAATCGGCTAAAACTTGAAAAATTGACCGTTAATGGTCTTTAAAGCAATCTATCATTAGCACTTACTATAATTTTTAATTCTCATACCTTCCAGAGTTGTCCAATATATATCTAGTATCTCTTTCACGAGCTATTATAAACCAAATGATTTCTTTGCACTCGATTCTTTCTCTTTCGTCACGTATCAGTATCTTTCCCAGCCTTTACTGTCCTGTGCACAAATGATTATAGACTGGAATTCAGTTCGAGTTTTTTCTGCCCAAAGATTCACTGCTATTCCTACACCAGTGAAGCTACCGGAAGCAGTAGCTGGGCTTCCAGAAACACGGAGCGTAAAACAAGTCGGTTCATTATTTGGACAGGGTGGATTCAAACTAATTATTCTGCTCGGACCCTGTAAGTTTCTTGTCCTATTTGACACTGTCCAGACATTAAAGGCTCCAATATGTAGTTCAGAGAGGGGTTTCAGGAAACCAGGACTAAAATTCCGTGTACTCAAATCGTTTGCATTAGCAGTGAGGGGTCACAAAGGAATGTTAAAAAGGTTAGTCATGGAGATAAAAGAGATGTTAAGGGGTGTAGGAATGATTTGATTGTGACCGATTCGACCACGTATATTGTTACGGGTATGAGGGCGGATGTAACTTCCCGGCTGTCCACACCAAGGAAGAGTGTTTCTTGAAGAACCTGAAAAGGAAAGTAGAGTACTGTCGGTCTTAGAGACCTGGGAGCGTGACCGCGGAGCACAAGGGACAACTGCTTTAGGCCGGTCACGCACGGCCTTTTTATGGGTAGTGCTTAGAGCATAGCTCCGCTCTTGTTTAAAAGCCATTACCGCCGGAGAAGGAAATCCGCGAGGTAGGGTGAGGTGTGGCATTTTTATTGTCTAACTTTTTTAACCCCTTCGTTTGGTTGTGCAAATCATACATATAGTGATTTTTAAGGATCGCTGTTTTGCTGATTAAACGGATTAGAGCGCCCCCTCATTAGACAGTAAAACTTGAGTCTTTTTGGACATCTGGTGTTTGCTTCAGTATTTAAAGACTTTAAATATGTACGCATATCAAATTTAATTTGCAAGTTCATTTTTTTATTGTCAGTATGCTCGTAAATAAAAAATATTAAATAATACTAGTTCATTTCAGTGAATGCCACCCGAAGAACAAAATAGCTCCAAACTCTGTTGTAGCTGTACTTAATAGGTTTATTTTATTTTTCTCCATCAATAATGGCTATCTGTTTTGCTACCGGATTAAATATGCATACACGCAACCTTGGTTCGTATAACTGGTTCAGTATCAAAGTAAACGATTTATGATCGTGATTTCAGTATTTTGCCTACATATAGTTTTCCTTTTCCATAGGATATCGAAGACACATATTTCATGCCAATTAATGATCAGTTAGATTACGTTTGTCGTGTGATAAACGAAGACAAAAACTTCTCCAATGGTCTACATCTGATTGGTATATCACAAGGCGGATTATTTGTCAGAGCGTTAGTCCAAAAATGCAATTTCACGAAAGTCGGTACAGTTGTTTCTATTGGGGGGCCGCAACAAGGAGTGTTTGGCCTACCAAAATGTACTGTTGATGGCTTTATTCATCTTTGCTTATTAATGAACGAACTACTATCCTATGGAGCCTATACTAAATTTGTCCAGAGTCAGTAAGTGCAAGAAAAATTATTACGGAATAGTTTGTAGCTATGGATTTATCAAACTGCGTTGAATGAACTATGAGATGTCTGAGCGAAGCTTCGCTTCCAGAATTTGTGCGTTGTGTCCTGTGTCAGTATTTGTGGTATCTGAATGATAAAATGTGCATGTGAAACTAAATTACAATCTATTCATTACCTTAGAAGTACATTTACTTGTGACAGCTTTCTTTACCAGATAGTAAAACAGATACGATAGAAGAAATATAGAACGAAAAAGTTTTAAACGAAACTGGCCTGCATTAAAAACGAAATTAAGGAGATTTGTTGTCCATTGTTTTCTCCTCAGGAGAGTTATTGAGATATCAATCAGAATACACAATGTTTGTTAGTTCTAGATAAAAATTTTGAAAACTTCAGCGCCATGTTTAAGTTAAAATAGTGAATATATAAAAAATAAAATACTCCGTTTGACAATCCCACTCAAATTTTCATACTTAATTTCTAGTAGAGTTGACCTGGCCGAGACGCTAGCAAGGCATGCGAATGATACACGATAAATCGTGAAGTGCAGCTAGTTAGTTTATTTTCCATATGCATGAGTAATCAGTTTCAAATATGATTCCCAAAAAAGCCGAAGAATCTTCACGAACTTTCAGTTAAGTAGAAGGAGAAAACTGATGTGCTATCTTACTACAATTGGGTGGCGCTTAAGTAGTCAGAATATAAACCTACCTTTAGAATGACAGTTGGTATATCTGGCTTGGTAGAGCACCTAATAGTTTGGTTATTTAGAGTTCAGTAAAAGCAAACTGTACCATTTAAATAATATAATGGAAGGACAAGCATTACTAGAATTACCAAGTATTTTCACGCATTTAATTTAGTACGGTCCGAACACATTTACTCGCAAAGACATTTATATTCAAAAAATGATTGCCAAACTAGACAAACTGAAATCGTCGAAGGAAACTACGATTGTACCATCTAGTTAATAAATCACTATAACTTTGGTAGGTATGATATAAGTATACATTGTCTCTGAACATCTAGGGGAGGATAAATTTTCTATGATTGAATTTTCAATAAAAGTAATCAGTCTACATTTAGGTAAAACCACAAAAATCGAGTTAAAGTTGATCGCAAGACTTGTTTCAAAAATATGTCTGACAACAGAAGGAAATAGCTGTTAGCCAAATACTCTTATTGATTTATTTTTTTGAGCCCTATGGTGTGCATCAGATCTCTCTGCTATTACTGATGTGGTTACCGCTTCTACTATCATGGCATCTTGAATTGATGCACATATATACCAAGTTTTCCACTAAATATGACCGACTAACTGACAATATAACTGGATAAGGTAATACATATCAGATTTTAAACACTAATAGCAAAACAGAGAGTTTTGTTAGTCTTGTTATAAAGAACAAACACTGATCTTAATTAGTTACTGCCACTGACCTTTTCCAGATGTAATATGGTTCTACATTTATCGTATATTACTATTTCTTCCTCTAAGCTAAAGCTATAAAAATGATAATCTTTTGTGATAATACTACTGGTTATGTTTTCAAAACCATACTAGATCGTTGAATAATTGACTTTCACTGTTACTAGAATCTTATTACACCCCTCGGGTATTCTTCAAAAATCAGTTACGTATAGATAAGTTCAATAATAATTTAAAGCAGCCATATTGTTAGTAGTCAAAATTATGAAGGATGGTTAATTACATGTCAAGGGTCTCTTCTGAAAACATTTAAACCAGAATGTACAATTGCTTCCCAAAGTGAACACTCATAAAAAAAATTTACATTTATTCTTCCGTTTGTTATTGTTAAAGCGTTGTTCAAGCGCAATATTGGCATGATCCATTGGAAGAAGATGTTTATCGCAAATATTCTCAGTTTTTGGCAGATATTAACCAAGAAAATGTGAGTGTATTCTGGCTAAAAGATAAATGTATGATATTTTTTAAATGGAATTCATATAACATTTAGACCTTTATTAGCTTGAAAAGTGAATGAAATCATATACAAAACTAACCTACCCTACACTTTCGAATGAGATAATAGTGTAAAATTCTACGAGAATTCGAAAAACTCTAGCGGCCCATCTACTTGAACTCAACGCTGACAATCTTGGCTATATATGGAATTTAGCTATGTTGCTTAAAATCACTTCCCTTAATATGGTAGGTGTAATTTTAATATGAGCGATGAATCGAATAAAACCAATAATCTGTGTTTTCTGCAGACTGTTCCAGTGAACTTACACTTAAGCAAATATCATATTGAATTTCTGTTGATTACACTGACAAGTCCCTCAAGGTTATGAAGCATATTTCTTAGTTTCTTGGGTAATAATCATTAAATATTTTTTGAACATATTCAGTTTATGATGGTTTTATTAAGAAATGAATATCAGAGAAACTTTAGCAGTTAATAAGATGTAAAATTTCTAGTAGTATTTATCAATGAGGTTTGCGGACTTTGAAATTTCTAAGATAGTTATTTCAGGAAATTTATTGTTTTCTAGCTCAGGTCTCAGTTGGATTTAGTTATCCTGTTACTGTAGGCACTCGATATGGAGACAATTTATCATTTAACATGATCATCACCTTGGTAGGATTCTTGGCTTAAATCTAAGTGCAACTAGTCTGGAAACCACTGATAAACTATCGTAAAGGAAAACGTAGTTATACCTTAATGGAATAATTATATTTTGCAAACTCGACTCATTATGGGTGAAATTGTGGACTGTCGTTAGTTCACCATTCAACTTTAACTGGTTTCCTCTCGTTAAACTGTAAAAAGACTCAAGGGATGGTAATGATCCATTTTTATTTGCGATTATTTTTCAAGGCTCTATTGACTTGAACATTTAGTAGAAACCAAAATCTTCATGATATTTCCTTTTTTTGTAACCAGCTGTTTATTTGGATTGAAAAATTCACTTAGGTTTGGGTGAGTTTATTTATTCGTTTGTTTTTGATATTCTAGGAAATAAACGAAATTTATCGTGAAAAAATGAAAAATATCCAACGACTAGTATTGGTAAAGTTCTCCGATGACAGTATTGTCATCCCTAAAGAATCAGAAGTAAGTGTAGTGGTTAGTTAAAAACAAATGTATATTGATAAAAATACTTGAATATGATTAAGTGTAAGTGCACTTTTATATAACATCAATTTTCTAAACTCATATTAAACCTATGATTGGCGCTTCTCAAATTAGCTGTTACGTTATACTGTAAAGAAGAAACCTATTTCAAATTTAGTAAAGCTTTTGAACTACTCACTGAATGATTAATCTAACAGCACTGTCTAGACAAGTGCTTTTTGACCCGCAATATCTGACTCCTATCTAGACGAACCACTGAATACAGTATGGATATACATCTGCCTCAGACTCCAAAGACTATATTGTAGGGTCACTTCGTTTTATGCGATTGTGGTAGTAAAAAACCAAATACATACTCAATTACTTACTTACTTACTTTGACCTGTTACCTCCAATGAAGCATAGGCCACAGACCAGCATTCCCAAACCTGCTCTGTCCTGGGGCTTCCTTTACAGTTCTGTCCAACTGTTGTTCATGCTTATCATATCTGTCCTCAATTCTCGGTGCTATGTGTTTTCGGTCTTCCACATTCCTTTTCGAACTTGACGATTCCAAGTAAGGGTTTGTCTTGTGACGCAGTTTTTTGCTTTCTTCAGTGTCTGTTCTATCTACTTCCAGCTCTTCTTCCTCACTTCTTCCTTCACTGGAATCTGGTTTGTTCTCTTCCACAATAGGTTGTTGACGATAGTGTCTGGTAAATGGATCCGAAGTGTTTTGCGTAGACAATGTTGATAAATAATGGTATCTTGTTAATGATGGTTTTCGTAGCTTTCCACATTTCCGCTCCATACAGTAGAACTGTTTGGACATTTGTATTGAAAATTCTGATTTTGGTGTTTGTTGAAAATTGTTTTGAAATTCAGAAATTCTTCAGTTGTAGAAGTGCTGCCCTTACTTTGCCAATCCTCGCCTTCACATCTGCATTAGACCCACATTGTTCATCAATTACGCTATCCAGATATGAAAATAACTCAGCATGGAGCCCCTCTGGAGCTTCTGCCAGTTCCAAGCACGGATAAAGGAGGAGGGTTGGGCTTTGGGTTAGCGACCCTGTGGTGGCCATTGTCTCACTAGTTTCATTACAGTCGGTATCCAACGTGTTTGTAGATTTCGTATGCTGCTCGTCTAGACACCTGTTACTAAATAGCACCTCACGGCTATAAATCAGAAGGCAATTGCGAAGTGTTGAATACGTTTATTTGGCACACCACAAATATATCACAAACCGTAGGCACACGGAGTGAAAGACGAACAAGCTAGCAAGCGAGCAAACAGGCGAATTAATTAATAAGAATAAAATACACATATATATACATAAGAAAATGGCTGAGTCATCGAGATATTTAAGATGTCAGCATTAAAGCGAGTAGGATGAATATTCGCGTATGTGGTAAGCAAAGTCCAGTCGTACCAACTCATACAAACAAGACAATAGTAAAAGCCAATGGTGCATATAAGTTGTTGCTATACAAATGGTTTGGTTAAATAAGTTAGTCAGAAGGCTTAACCAAATTCAGTATGAGTGAACTCAAATGTGTGTGGAGGCACTACAACCTGATCTCGTTGAAAACTAACTCGCTAAAAAACGCTAACCAGAAAAAATAACTCAAACCATTAAACTCTGCCCTGGGAGTTAGAAGTTCTTCTTTGAGAAGAGTGACGATATCTCATGATGAAAGCTGAATTCATTCGGAAGTCACGAGGCCGATGCCCCTTCTGACAACCAGAGAAACCATTCTTTTAGGTACATAAAATGTCCGAATATTGTTGGAGACTGGAAGACTATTCCAAGTTGCTGCTAAAATCAAAAGATATAACCTGAAGGTGCTTAGAATCAGTGAAACGCATTGGACGAAGTTTGGAAAACTGGCTTCAGGAGAGCTGCTGTTTTATTCCGGTCATGAAGAAGAAGCCTCACACACAAGGAATGCACTGGCTGCCCTAAAAAGCACAAAGGGCACTTATAGGATGGAAATCTCATGGACCCAGGGTCGTCAAAGCATCCTTCAAAACAACGAAAGAAGGCAGTACAATGAATATCATCCAATGCTATGCGCCTACCTACAATGAAGATGTTAAAAGATCAATTCTACAAGGGGCTGCAGTCAATCGGCGAGAGATGCTCCCAAAATTATTCGACCATTCTGATGGGAGACCTAAATGCCAATGTTGACATGGAAAACATCGGGTATGAAGGCATCATGGGACGACAAGTACTGCGAAAAAGTAAAGGAAATGGTGAGAGATTTGTAAATCTGTGTATCTTTACCAGAATGATTAAAGGCGGCACAATATTCCCATGTAAACGCATACACAAAGCTATATGGATTTAACCGGATCACACTACATGGAACCAAAACAACCTTATCTGCATCACTAGAAATATCAAAAGGTCAATGTAGGACTTGTGGATTAGGAGAGAAGCTAATGTAGCCTCAGATTATGACTTTCTGGTAGCCAAGATGAAACAAAAACCCAAGAAGCACTGGGCAATCAGGCGGACAACACAGGAGTTTAATACTGCCTTTGTTTGGGATACTGACAGACAACTAATTCAAGATGACTCTCAGCAATAAGTTCCCGGACTTTCACGATCTACTCATTAGAAACGAAACTACCATGTAGAACAGTTGGAAAGAGATCAAGGAGGCAATCATTTCAGCATGTCAGGAGGCTTTGGGCCATAAGAAGTACCATCAAAAGGAATGAATATCTGTTGGTATTCTTGATTAAATTCAATAAAGGACGAACAAGAGGGCAGCAATCTACATCAGCCGAACAAGAGTATAGAAAGCCAAAGCCAAAGCTGAATAAACATAGGCAGACATAGCAACAACTTTTGGGATACTTCACTCTCTTTTCAGCAAGATTCGGGAGAAAGAACGAGTACTAACAGACTGGGAAGAAGGACACCTCATCAACATACCAAAGAAACGTGATCTCAGAAGGTGTAAGAACTACATAGGCATCACTCTTCTATCAATACTTAGAAAAGTCTTCCACAGAGTGCTGTTAAGCCGAATGAAAGATTACGTCGATGTCCAACTTTGAGATCAACAGGCTGGATTTCGTTAGGACTGATCGTGTGCCGACCAAATAGTGACACCACTGATCATTGTTGAACAATCAGTTAAATCGAACTCAACAATCTACATCAAGTTCATTGACTAGAGAAAGCTTTTGATATCGTGAATCGGATGAAGATATGGAAGCTTCTTCGACACTATGGGGTGCTTGAGAAGATAGTCTAAATCATACGGAATTCGTACGATCAATGAAACCGTAAAATCTTGCATGTAGACAACTTCCAGACTCGTTCGAGGTGAAGACCGGCGTCAAGCAAGGTTGTTTACTCTCAGTCGACAGAAATTAAACATACAGACTACATAAATAATAAAATTATTTAAACAGGTTCGAACTATACAGAGGAGTTACAGATTTCATTGGATGAATTGATTTCAGGCATTCATTTATTCAGACAGACATCATGATTAGAAGCAGCATAGTAAAGCGAAGACAATCAAGCTGACTTCATTTGATAAGTTATAGCTTGCCATTTGTAGCCAGATAAAAACAGGCTAAGTTTATGCGCTGATGAATAAAGTCAATGATACTACACATATACTCTCATATACAACCAATCAATGGTTCAAACGAATAATTGACAAGGTCAAAATATCTTGTAAATAATGACTTCAATCAAATGAATAAATTCATTTGTCTGTTCTAAAGGTAGAATAAAATTAAGTAAGCAAGACAGTAGTAGACATTGCAAGTATTAGCCAGATACATAACTATGAAAATAAGTAGCAATAATAATATACTACATTTGAACATGAAATACGATAATTAAGCTTGATTATTATTTCACTAAATGTTGTTATTGTATCAATCTATCGACCAATAGTTGATTAAACACATTTTTTTTAAAAATCATTCGATAATAAGTAATATTGATACATTGTTTTAATTCTTTTTTAAGTAATATTCTAGTATTGGACTACTACACACATATTATATTATCAGTAAAAATAATAAATTGTAATAAATATTCATGTCTGTGTACACTTATTTGTCTGTGTACACTTATTTATTTATATTATATTATTTTATTTCATTTCAAATAATGTTAAAATTTGTGTAGCTTCCGGTTTTAGGGTATATTTATTTCTTTATACTTTATAATATGGCATGATATCTGTTACATGTCACCTGTATATTACATTGGAAATGTTATTTTGTTCTAAATCTATTCAATTTAGATACTGAATTTTAATCCGTTTTTGAACTAGTCCTTAAATGGGTTTGTAATGAATTAGATTTGACTTGAAACATGTGGTGACTGACCACTTTTTTTTTTTACTGAGTGTTTGCAAACAGTTCATGATTCCTCCATGTTTCCTAACGATAGGGAATAATAAATCGACATTTCGAAATACTATCTCCCTTATATAAACAACAGTACAAACTTGAATTATTATTGACCACGGGTGGTGAGTTTCCTGTTTTGATAGATACAGATTGATATTCTTACTTTAGATGTCATGATTTATAAATAAGGATTAGATTATGTAGATTTATTATTCCATATATCCAATCAACTGAATAGTTTGATAAAAAAAAACATGTTTTTTACAAGTATAAAATAAAATTCTTCAGTTCAGTTAGTTATCAATGACAGTTATGATAGCTCTTAACTTATCAGTTAGCCTAATATAAGTTTCACAAGGGTAGTTACATCAGCTTAGAATTCACAATAATCTTATATATTTTATGACATAACGGGGAATTGTGAAAGTAACTCGATCCGGTGCACAAGCGTGGCGCGGAAATAACCAAAATCTAATTCGAGTCAGCTTGATATTATCAAGATTTTTATATTTCATCATGTCGACTGTACTTACTTACTTACGTCAGTTACCCCCAATGAAGCATAGGTCACCGACCAGTTTTCTCCAATCAACTCTGTCCTGGGACTCCCTCTCCAGTTCTGTCCAATGTTTGTTCATTCCTCTCATATCTTTCTCTATTGCTCGGCTTAATGTGTTTCCTGGCCTTCCTCTTTTCCTTTTGCCTTGGGGGTTCCATGTGAGGGCTTGTCTTGTGATGCAGTTCGGTGCTTTTCGTAGTGTGTCCTATCCACTTCCACCGCTTCTTCCTGATTTCCTCCTCCAGTGGAATCTGGTTTGTTCTCTCCCACAGTACATTGTTTCTGATGGTGTCTGGCCAACGAGTCCGAAGTATTTTGCCTGGACAACTGTTAATGAATACGTCTATCTTCTGGATGATGGCTTTGATAGTTCTCCAAATTTCCGCTCCATACAGTAGAACTGTCTTGACATTTGTATTGAAAATCCTGATTTTGGTTTTGGTTGAAAGTTGTTTGGAGTTTCAGATATTTTTCAACTGTAGAAATACAGCCCTTGCTTTGTCAATCCGTGCCCTCTTGTCTGCATCGGATTCACCTTGATTGTCGATGATGCTGCCCAGATAAGTAAAGGTGTTAACGTCCTCCAAGGCATCTCCATCAAGAGTGATTTGGTTGGTGCATGTTTTTGTTGCATCGGAGAAATGTCGACTGTAGTGTAAGAATCTTATATCCCCTTATATCTGTGGCTATTCATCATTTACGACAACAAATGATATTTGAATGTGAAAAAATAGATACAATCTCTATAACGAATTCCGATTATTGACGGTCTCTTTAACGATTATTATCATCTATATTATCATGGTTAGGTAAAGTGATATTATTTACTCAACAAAAGTTTACAAATTGTTGCTGACCTAGACTTAATTTATGTGTAGTCTTGTTAACAGTACCTGAAATGTAGGAAAATTGTGATAAATCTAAAATTTATCTGATATTATAAATAATCTGTTTTTTTTTAGTGGTTTGGATTTTATCAGCATGGATCCACGACAAATATAACAGCATTACAGGAGAGCAAACTGTATACTGAGGTAAGTGATTTATTGATGTAACTGATAAAACAAATAACTTATTATTTGTATACGATAAAAGCTAAAGGTTATAAACTCAAAGACATAAATGCTGACAGCAAAAACCTTCGAGTTAGAAAATAACTTCTCATAGCTGAACATTACTGCATACGAAATACGTTACATCTGAACAATTCAAAAACATTTTGCTTGTTCTTTGTTTCTGGTCAAAATATACGCAATAATTAGCTTTGATTAGACGACTGGTAGATGTTTTGTGATAGTCGCATAATGCACCACTTGTGGTCATCGACTAGCTGACAATGTATTAGAAGTTGTCATAGATAATAAAATTTGATTTTGCTATGAAAAGTGGCGTAACAAAAATGACAATTCAACATGCTGATATAATCAATGGTCTATTAATGTGTTATTAGGTCTACATTAGGGAAAAGATTTATTCAATACAAAGTATATCATGTTTACTGAATTGCATCAAAGATGCTGTGATTAGTGGAGGAAAATAGATCGGATAAGGCGTATTGTTTGTATTTAACACTAACAAATTTTTGATAATAATAATAATAGTCGAAAATTATACTTGTCAAGGCATTTCATATGATTAATAAAAGGTCAATTAAATAAAAGTTCAAATACACATAAGGTGTCCATTGCAACACAAGCGAGGCTTGGTAAAATGCCTCTACAACAGGGGAAAACGAATTCACACCACGGATACATTCAAAGGCGATGCAAAATTCTTGACTGAAACATTGATTTCAAACGGTTATCTGCTAAAGTTCATCAATAGGTGTACAAATCAGTTTTCCATTCAGCTGAACAGAAAAATGTTTATATCACCTTACCATTTAGTGGCGAATCAAATAGTTTAATCCTAAGACAGCGACTAAAAGCAGCCATAGAGAAAACATACTTACTACGCTGCTAAACTGATTGTAATTGAAAAGATTAAGCCCATGATTCTACGTAGGCCTAAATGTTGCTCAAATGATTACATCGCATCTCAATGCATTTATCAATTTACATGTTTATGTGGACACACATACATAGGAAGGAGTAGTCAGACTTTGTGATCAAGGGTTATGGAACATATACCTAAGTGGCTGCTTCAAAACCAGTTAACTTCAGATGACCCGATAATCGTGGGAAACAGAAAATCCTGTTCATCGATAGTAAAACACATAATTGAGGCGGTGCATAAGATTGACATCAAGACGGCATTCAAAACATTGTACAGAAACGTCGGAGGACAAATTTTGAGGTTTATGGAAGCCCTGGCTATTCGTAACTTAAAACCCTCCTTATGTGTACAGAAACAGTTTGAATTTACCCCAGTAATCTTTAGGCCTTGGGTGATGTGACAATTTCTTACCCTTTCTTATTCTCCTTATATCACGTTAATTTTCGCTCTCCTTTATTTACACTTGTTACCTCATGTCTAGTTGAACTGTTTATTTAATTGACCTTGACATATATATGAGTCACCGAAATGTGTAGCACAAATACATCACGTGATTTCAGATCGATTACGTCTTCCCATTGTTCTATCAAAATTTATAAAAGGGGACAAATTGTTTTAAATCGAAAATTAGTCAAGAAAATCACTATACAAGAGAATGAACCATACAGTTAATTTTTATATTTCATATCACTAGAAAATTCAACTCACCAAACTTTTTATCTCACCTAATTGAATAACAAATCACAAAATAGACACTGATATTACTTAAATTGATTGATTTTATCAGTTTAGTACTGAAAATAAATATACTACTGAATTTTACTTCAAAACTATTTAACATAAATGAATTAATGTTAAACATTTAATACAATTCATTTATTTCAGGATCGTTTAGGCATTCAACATCTTGACAAAAGAGGTGATTTACATTTAATTGAAAAAGATGGTGATCATTTACATTTCGATCTGAATTGGTTTGTTGAAAAGATTGTAATACCTTTTCTGAAATAATTTCTATTACTTAAAAAAAACCGATATACACTGTTTATTTTACAAATTTTTTTAAAATAAGATAAAAGTATTTTATTTCTTACTGACCAGTGAATACAATTTATTAAACATATAAATCTTTTTTGATGATCACACATAAATCTACCTACATTTTCTGAAATAAGTTCTTTAATACAATATACATTTCAGGAATTGATAAAGCTAGAAGGTTATAAATTAAATTTTGGTGTAAATGACCTATTGGTCACATCATTCAATAAGAAAGCGAAGGTCCCGGCGTAGTGCTCCAGAGGTTAGGCGTTGGCGCGCAAGGCTGTAGGTCCTAGGTTCGAATCCTGTGAGGTGCAGGAGTCGTGGAGGCTTACTGCTGATTGTTGGGATGTTAGATCCTCAGAACTCACTTCATAAAGGTCTTGATTTCGGATTTTATTCATGGGCTGATCGGTTGATCTTGAAATTACATTTCCCACCAGAAAAATCCTTGACTTTTATTGGTTGATGTGTTATTTTAGTACGCTATTTTTGTGGTTCTCCCAAGGACGTTTCTATGATGTATAAGTAAACGCGATTTTTGTGCTTGACAAACCTCGATTTTCTGGGTTATGTAGAATACACTTTCTAGGCCATATCAAGACTTCTCTACTCAATGGGTCCTTGGTACTCTCGGATTAGAGTAGCCTATCGTTTCACTAGATCATTAGTTTTCGCTCTCGTTTACCAACTGAGCTGAACCCGTAATAGTTTCAAACATGTCAACGACGTGCATAAAAATTTGGCGACAGGGATGGGATCACATAGATCCTTCAAGACTTGAATTATTACCGAGCAGCAGCTGAACTAATGAAGATGCTTATGGATATCAAACTTCATCGAGACACGACAATGGTCCAGAGTGGTGGATCAAGTAAATCTGACCATTCGTGTAGTGCAACTCTCAACTAACCAGAGTAGATGTGCTCCTTGCCACACATAGTCCATCTCACTTCAGATCAATCCAACAGCCTATCTAAATGTACTCGGTTTAGATTGATTCGACCAGTTAACTTTAGCAGATGTCCCATTAATACCGTATGACTCCGGGTATCGCAATTTCATCACCCTGAAGCATATTAGAGGAAGCCAAACCGCTCCAAAAGTACCCAAAGACTGGTCCTACATCCTGTACCAATTTGTTAAGTTTAGTATCTTCATGTCAAAGCTCAACAAACAAGCTGATCACCATTCCAGAAAATATCCTGAAAGCACTGGACGGCCTTTCCGTCCTGATCATTTCAATATGTAAAAACACTAATCTCCGTAACTCTAACTGAAGAAATTACGTGTCAACTATTTTGTGTAATCACAAAAATAGTTATCTGAAGCTATCGGATTACTTTTCCGATGTAAGAATGTGCCGAAAATCCATCAAACGTATTCGGCTTATTATTCTTGTTAAAGATAAATTCTTTTTTACATTAGATCAAGTTGAATTGACTCGTCACTTGGTAAAATCAAATCATTAAGGCATTCTGTTAACTAGATAACTCTTCGTTTCTGTAGTTAATCCAACTGTATAGTTTCTAGTTAATTTATACGAAATCAAAAGAACTGTTGCCTACATCTATGCGACATGCCGTAATGTGTATGCCGACTTTTCAATGTGTTTTACCATTCCAGTTACTGAGTATTCTAATATCTGGAATATATATTCTTATGCTGTTCAAGTGGGATGGGTTATCCACTTTAAATTGTATTTATTTTTGGGAATTTCTGATAGTATATTATTTTCAGCATTCCGTATTATGTATAAATAAATGTTTCACTTTAATATCACCTAGATGAGGCTTGAAAAGACTAATATTTAAAATTTAGAGCACTAGCAAAAATCAGTTGTTCCATTTTAAAAAAAGTATGAAGTATGAAATAAGCATACGAAATTTTGTATTCCAGAGGAATTTCACAATTACGAAACAGCTTGCTGGAAAACCTTGGCTAATCGCTAAACATAAAGATTGATCAATAATTTATGTAGCTTATTTTACTCTTCTACTTGGATGTTATGTGATACATGACTTTGAACTATTGTTTATTACCTACAAAATGAGCTAATGTCGGAATATCTTATTAATGGTTGTTGGCTAACATTTTGTTCACGAATACAAATAAATTAGAAATATGTCCATTTTTCCAACTCAGCGATTGAAATTTTAATACATACGCAGTAAGCGCATATTAATAGGAGTCGCAGATTCTACAATACGAAAAATTCGTGTAAAAGTTGTTTTAACATCTATTGGTTTGACATACTAGTGTTCGCTTATATGTGTTGTTCTAATTTTCACAATGGGAATCTTTAATATCTATTGGTTTCTCGAACCTGGATTTGGATTTGTGTGTAAGGTAGACGTCTGGGACAATCCAAGTGCAATGAACAGAATCACATGAACTTTACTTCTCACTATAAAAAGTGAGCCCGACCGTAGCTGCTACCTTGACGTGGTGGTCGGGCCTGCCTATCGTGATGACCCAACCGAGCTATACTGGCTGGAACATATGTTCCTCAAGGTTCTACCATGCCAGGCAGGTCGATTGGAGAACCATGAGACTAAAAGCAGCTACTCAAGGTCTGAGGGCGAAGTCGTGCTGCTGACTGCAGAGGGGTGTGACAGCAGTAAGGTGTTTCCCTCGGATAACCAGCATCTGCAGCGATGCTGCCTTCTCACAAGGAAGGGAGGGTTAGAAAAGATCGGCCCTAAAAATGTCACACCTCACCTACCTCACAGATTTCCATCTCCTTGGGTAAGGGTGCTCACTAAGGGCCTTTAAGAACGGAGCTAATCCTATAAATACCTTTCATAAAAAGGCCGTGCGTGACCGGCCTGCAGCAGTTGTCCCTTGGACTTTGCGGTCACGCACCAACACTAATCTATCTTCCTTTTCAGGTCCCTCAAGAATCAACCTTCCACGGTGTGGGCAGCCGGGAAGTGACAACCGCCCTCATACACGTAACAGCACACGAGACCGAATTGGTCAAAACCAAATCCTTTCTACACCCCCTAATATCTCTCTTATCTCTACGACTAACTCTACTCACACTCCCTTTTCTCACTGCACCGCTAGTGCTGACGAAGCGAGATCACGAAACGTCGTTCCTGGTCTCCTGAAACCCCGTTCTAGACTACATGTTGGAGCTTTTAATGTACGGACTTTGTGTCAGATAGGGTAACAGGCATCATTAGCTAGGACTTTAGAATCTCGTGCCATCGATGTATAATGTGTCTCGGAAACGCGCATACAGGATCCTAGTAAAGTCATTAATCTGATTTCACCTTGTCAAAATAAAGAAGCAGCTCGCTTTACTCTTCGTGTATCTGGAAGCCCTGATGCTGCTTCCAGGGGTCTTGCTGGCGTAGGCATAGCATTGAGTCGTAGAGCTGAACAATATCTCCTAGACTGGGTCCCAGTAGATAAACGCTTGTGCGCTGTCCGACTAAACGGGACAGTAAGGATAGGGACACTTGCCGTTGTCTCTTCGTCATATCTGCCTACGCCCCCACTGACTGCAGTGCAGACGAGGTTAAAGATGAGTTTTACAGATAGCTCTCGGACCTCCTCCAAAAAGCTAGGCGCTCTGATATAGTAATAATGGCTGGTGACTTCAATGCTCAAGTAGGTAGACCAGGTGAAAAGGAAAGACATCTAGGTGGATGTTATGGTGTAGCGGCTCAGAGAACAGACAATCGCGACCGTCTGTTGCAACTATGCTCAGATAACCGCCTATTCTTAGCGAACACTAACTTTAGGCATAAGGAAAAGCATCTTTTGACCTGGCGACCCCCGAAGACGTCTCAACGTTGGACTCAAGTAGATCATATTGCCATCAGCCACCGATGGAGGGGTTCGATAGAGGACTGTCGCTCGTTCTGGGGCACATGTTTAGATTCAGATCATGCTCTAGTGCGAGCTCGTATCTGTTTGAGGCTTACTGGACGTAGGAAAGAAACCATAAGGAAGCCTCTTATGGTTTTACTTAATGATAATCAAACTAAGAAAATATTTCAGGAGCAACTAGAAAGAGAGTTAAGCAACGATGCAAGTGATTCCCATCCAGAAGCAGGTTGGTATGATATCAAGAAGGCTGTGGAAACAGCAGTGATATCTTCTAGTAAGGTAAACCATAAGGCTAAGATGAAGCCGTGGATCTCAATAGCACCTACCGAACTGATAGATGCTCGGAAACGCATCCCGCCTGGCTCTGAGGGCGATGAGGAGCGGAGTCAGCTTAGATGTAGGCTGACAAAAAGCCTACGCAACGATCGAGAACAGTGGTGGGTGGAGAAAGCAAAAGCGATGGAAAAGGCAGCAGCGATAGGCAACACTAGACAACTTTTCCGACTTATCAAGGAAACTGGTATTAGGAATCCTAGTGTAAGTGAGACTATCTCGGAAAATGATGGGACTATTATTTATTCTCAATCCAGGAGACTGGATCGATGGGCAGAACACTTTAGGGATCAGTTCAACTGGCCTCGAGCCACTCTTCGGTTACCCACGATCTCCAATCATCCTGAATGGCAAATCGACCTAAGTCCCCCTAGTCTTGATGACGTTGAGAAAGCGTTAGGAAATCTGAAACGAGGACGAGCTGCAGGTCCTGATAGACTGACCCCTGAGATATTTAAGGATGGTGGTTCAGCTTTGGCTGCTAGGTTGACTGAGATCTTAGGTAGAATCTGGGAACTGGACGTAATACCATCCGACTGGTCTCAATCACTAATTGTCCCAATCTATAAGAAAGGACAAAAGTCTTCTTGTGACAATCACAGATGAATCAGTCTAACTAATATATTTTCTAAATTGTTAATTAACTAATATAGTATCTAAAATATTGGCCTCAATAATACTTCGACGCTTAACGAAAGCTCGTGAAGAGCAGACTCGAGGAAACCAGGCTGGTTTTCGACTTGGACGTGGTTGTATAGACCACATCTTCACACTACGACAGGTCCTGGAACACAGAC